CTCACTCTACACACACGCAATACCACAAGCAGGCTCCAAACACATGCACAATACTCTTTCCTGGCATTTTTGTCTCCTGGTATCCATTTATAGAGACACCAGAGACAAGTTGCAAGGAAACACAGTGCAAGCATGTTTTTAAATTTGCTTGCACTGTGCAGAACAAATACAGAGCTTTTTCCTCATGCTAGAGCTCTTCAGCAGAGCTCTGCAGCAGAGCTCTGCACATGGTCTGCCCTGGGAGAGCATTGAACCAACATGCTCACTTTGAGAGGGGGCGTGTTTGTCATTGGTGATGACAAAACACACCTCCTCTGCCCTGCCCCCTTCTTAGTGGGCCGCTGTGTTAAAAAAATGCCCGGGCCGAATTTTTCTCCCAGTCCGGCCCTGGCTCAGCCCCTTACAGCCGATAGAACAGGTAAAACACCAAAGGCTTCAAAAGGAGGCTCTATTCCTAAGGTCCTCAGTCAGTAACAAGCTCTACAGTAGATAAACCGAGACATTGATGGGTGGGTAGTATATGATGCCATGAATAATAGCCAGGAAAATAAAATTACAGTAAGTATGAATACATTTTCCACTTTCCTGGCTAATCATGGCAGCATATACACATGGAGAATACCCAAGCTAACAAAGGAAAGGACAGAAACGTAAATAACTGCCAATCAAATAATCAGAACAATTCAACATAGATAGAAGAATGAACTGAGTTAAGTACTTGACGTCCAAATTGTGCATCATTAACGAACAGTATGAAATGCCGGACAAACGTGTCTAAAGAGGTTCAAATGCTAGCTTTACAAAAAGTGTCAGCAGAAACCATTGCCATGGAAGCCCACGATGCTACAACAGCATGAATGGAGTGCCCTCATACCCTCTGGCATTAATAAGCTTTCCCCTTAGGCAGGATCTCAGATGCCAAATTCAAGATAACCATATCCTGTTGAAAATTAGTGAATGGGGGTTTATAGGATCAAGCCTGGAGTTGACACATTCTCCTTGCTGAGGTACTAGCCACCAGCAACAGCACTTTCTGTGCTACCACCATTGAAGCTCCTGTTAGAGGTTCAAATGATGGTTTAGTCAGAGCCAGTGGTTCAATACCCTCAGTGGAGGCTTGAGTTCAATTGATGCTTACATGAAGCAAAGCACCAGGGGCATCAATGCTTAATGGGTACCCTTCGGTACAGGTAGAGAATGACATTGATAAGCATTCACCCTAGGCAGGATCTCAGGTCCTAAATGCACAACCATATCCTGTTGAAAATTAGTGAATGGAGGTTCACAGGACCAAGCCTGGAGTTCCCACATTCTCCTTACTGAGGTACCAGCCACCAGCACTTTCTGTGCTACCACCATGGAAGCTCCTGCTAGAGGTTCGAATAATGGTTTGGTCAGAGCCCGTGAGACTAGTGGTACGTCACATATTGGCTTCACCACACTTAGTGGAGGCTTGAGTTCAATCAATGCTTACATGAAGCAAAGCACCAGGGGCTCCAATGTTCAATGGGCACCCATCCATGTGGAAAGTGCAGGTATGTACTCCTCTACAGTGTTATAACTCAGACCATTTCTAGGCCTAATTGAGGAGTAATTCCAACAGACAAATGCATGCCAAGGTTTGTAAAGTATTTATAGGACGGTAAGAGGATCTCAATGACCGTCTCAGGGATGCCTATACTTATAGGAAGTCCCACATCAACACCAGAACTTGAGGATCTTGGTGTGTCAAGGCACCTTGTAATAGGTCTAGACGTACTGGAATTTCCCTTGGAGGTTCCAGAATCATCTTATTCATCATAGGAATTTAGAGTCGACGTTGCCTTCCACCGTCTTCTTTTGAATTAGGAAAGTTGAAAACAGTTAAATATGTACATCAGACTAAAATTCCAAATTTGAGTCAGCATATCCTGACCTTGAACATTCTGGTCCTAAAATTTAGAAAAATACTTCTGGACCTGGTAGTTCCAAAATATGGCCATCCGAACTATGTAGGGTATCAGTTTAAATCTGCGTCAACCCTGAGGATACGTCGGGACATGGTTGCCATTCCACCTTGTCCACATTTATTCGGCTCAGGTAATCAGCCATTATATTCTGAGCCCTTGGTTGTTCTTCTGTGCCCTGATCATCATTTGCTGTAATTTCATCAATACGTAGCTGTGAGACCCATCTTGATAGATAGGATACAGTTGCATTGATATTTGAGCAAATTTGGACCCACTTGTTCTTCAGCAACCCTCTAAAGTGAAGAAGAGCCCTGAAAATGACTTGTAATTCCATGCAATCCTCGTGATCACATGGCCCAGGAGGGCCGGATCAGACACAAGGGGGACTCCCTGGTATGCCAGGTAAGTTCTAACTGGTATGCCAAGTAAGTCCCCCCATCATGATCGCCAGCAAGCAGGTAAGCCCCCTGGACAGCGGAGACGTACTATGCCGCCCGCCGATGTTTACAGCCGGGCCCGCCATCCTTAAGAGGTTAATCACTAGTTTTGTTCAGCAACTAGCTCTGTTCCCTTAGTCACTAGTTTTCTTTAACAACGAGCTCTGTTCCCTTAGTCACTAGCTTTATTCAGCGACTAAACTAACTCTGTTCCCCTAGTCACTAGTTTTGTTCAGCGACTAGTTCCCTTGGTCACTAGTTTTGTTCAGCGACTAGCTCTGTTTCCTTAGTCACTAGTTTTGTTCAGCAACTAGTTGTTCCCTTAGTCACTAGTTTTGTTCAGCAACTAGCTCTGTTCCCTTAGTCACTAGCTTTGTTCAGCGACTAGCTCTGTTCCCTTAGTCACTAGTTATGTTCAGTGACTAGCTCTGTTCCCTTAGTCACTAGTTTTGTTCAGTAACTAGCTGTTCCCTTAGTCACTAGTTTTGTTCAGCGACTAGCTCTGTTCCCTTAGTCACTAGTTTTGTTCAGCGACTAGTTCCCTTAGTCACTTTTGTTCAGTGACTAGATCTGTTCCCTTAGTCACTAGTTTTGTTCAGCGACTAGCTCTGTTGCCTTAGTCACTAGTTTTGTTCAGTGACTAGCTCTGTTGCCTTAGTCACTAGTTTTGTTCAGTGACTAGCTCTGTTGCCTTAGTCACTAGTTTTGTTCATTGACTAGCTCCCTTAGTCACTAGTTTTGTTCAGCGACTAGTTCCCTTAGTCACTAGTTTTGTTCAGCGACTAGTTCCCTTAGTCACTAGTTTTGTTCAGCGACTAGCTCTGTTCCCTTAGTCACATACTTTTGTTCAGCGACTAGCTCTGTTCCCTTAGTCACTAGTTTTGTTCAGCGATTAGCTCTGTTCCCTTACTCGTTAGTTTTGTTCAGTAACTAGCTGTTTCCTCACTCCCTAGTTTTGTTCAGTAACTAGCTGTTCCCTTACTCACTAGTTTTGTTCAGTAACTAGCTTTTCCCTTAGTCACTAGTTTTGTTCAGTGACTAGCTGTTCCCTTAGTCAATCATTTTGTTCAGCGACTAGCTCTGTTCCCTTAGTCACAAGTTTTGTTCAGCGAATAGCTCTGTTCCCTTAGTCACTAGTTTTGTTCAGTGACTAGCTGTTCCCTTAGTCACTAATTTTGTTCAGCGACTAGTTCCCTTAGTCACTAGTTTTGTTCAGCGACTAGTTCCCTTAGTCACTAGTTTTGTTCAGCGACTAGCTCTGTTTCCTTAGTCACTAGTTTTGTTCAGCAACTAGTTGTTCCCTTAGTCACTAGTTTTGTTCAGCGACTAGCTCTGTTCACTTAGTCAATAGTTTTGTTGAGCAACTAGCTCTGTTCCCTTAGACACTAGTTTTCTTTAACAACAAGCTCTGTTCTCTAAGTCACTAGTTTTTTTCAGTGACTAGCTCTGTTCCCTTAGTCACTAGTTTTGTTCAGCGACTAGCTCTGTCCCCTTAGTCACTAGTTTTGTTCAGTGACTAGCTGTTCCCTTAGTCACTAATTTTGTTCAGAGACTAGCTCTGTTCACGTAGTCACTAGTTTTGTTCAGCAACTAGTTCCCTTAGTCACTAGTTTTGTTCAGGGACTAGCTCTGTTCCCTTAGTTACTAGTTTTGTTCAGTAACTAGCTGTTCCCTTAGTCACTAGTTTTGTTCAGCGACTAGCTCTGTTCCCTTAGTCACTAGTTTTGTTCTGTGAATAGCTGTTCCCTTAGTCACTAATTTTGTTCAGCGACTAGTTCCCTTAGTCACTAATTTTGTTCAGCGACTAGTTCCCTTAGTCACTAGTTTTGTTCAGCGACTAGTTCCCTTAGTCACTAGTTTTGTTCAGCGACTAGTTCCCTTAGTCACTAGTTTTGTTCAGCGACTAGCTCTGTTTCCTTAGTCACTAGTTTTGTTCAGCAACTAGTTGTTCCCTTAGTCACTAGTTTTGTTCAGCGACTAGCTCTGTTCACTTAGTCAATAGTTTTGTTGAGCAACTAGCTCTGCTCCCTTAGACACTAGTTTTCTTTAACAACAAGCTCTGTTCCCTTAGTCACTAGTTTTGTTCAGCGACTAGCTCTGTCCCCTTAGTCACTAGTTTTGTTCAGTGACTAGCTGTTCCCTTAGTCACTAATTTTGTTCAGAGACTAGCTCTGTTCACATAGTCACTAGTTTTGTTCAGCAACTAGTTCCCTTAGTCACTAGTTTTGTTCAAGGACTAGCTCTGTTCCCTTAGTCACTAGTTTTGTTCAGTAACTAGCTGTTCCCTTAGTCACTAGTTTTGTTCAGCGACTAGCTCTGTTCCCTTAATCACTAGTTTTGTTCAGCGAATAGCTCTGTTCCCTTAGTCACTAGTTTTGTTCTGTGAATAGCTGTTCCCTTAGTCACTAATTTTGTTCAGCGACTAGTTCCCTTAGTCACTAGTTTTGTTCAGCGACTAGTTCCCTTAGTCACTAGTTTTGTTCAGCGACTAGTTCCCTTAGTCACTAGTTTTGTTCAGCAACTAGCTCTGTTTCCTTAGTCACTAGTTTTGTTCAGCAACTAGTTGTTCCCTTAGTAACTAGTTTTGTTCAGTAACTAGCTGTTTCTCTTAGTTACTAGTTTTGTTCAGTAACAAGCTTTTCCCTTACTCACTAGTTGTGTTCAGTAACTAGCTGTTCCCTTAGTCACTAGTTTTGTTCAGTAACTAGCTGTTCCCTTAGTCACTAGTTGTGTTCAGTAACTAGCTGTTCCATTACTCACTAGTTTTGTTCAGTGACTACCTATACTTAGTGACTAGCTCTCTTTAGTAAACAATCCTTGTTTAGTGAGTATCGCTACTTAGTGACTAGCTCTGTTTGTTGACGTTGCCACAGTATCCCACCGTGGTGTGCTGTCAGCGGAAATAGTAAAGAAAAGGGGGCTGGACGTTTCGTTTGGTTAGTGGGTACAGCCAATCAGCGAGCAGCTCCCCGTTCTCCTGGCGGAAGTAGTTTATTCCGTGCGTTAGTAAGCCATTACTGCGCACTGAGTGGGCGTGTCGCTCGCTGTGTACAACAAGTCGCCGTGTTACAGAGTGTTTCCTGAATCCCCGGTCTGGCAATGAAGGAGCCCTCCGCCTCTCCCGCTAACTCCACGGTCCCGGCCTTTCTCGTCAAGCTGTGGACGCTGGTGGAAGACCCGACCAATGCCGACGTCATCGCGTGGAACTGGGTAACGTGCGGCATCTCGCCCAGTGTGTACAGCGCTCAATGAGGGTGTTAGTAAATACGTCACAGGCAGCGGGTAATGGTATACGCTGGAGGACATGCCCTAACCTGGCAGGCCAGCATTAATCTCAATATAATATCCATCAGGATGCTCTCACAGAGGGATATAGCTGCTCTCTAGAATAATACTCACTGATTACTATAAGCAGGTCAGGGAAATTATATTGTATCTGAAAGAATAGTTACCTTCTTATTGATAAGAGCTTTGCATCCTAAACAGAGTATGGACGTCTCTACATATTTAAAGTCTTATTATGTTATATACAATTGGTGCTAATAATAAAAAAATAAAAAAAATAATTGTCATAATGCTTGTTGTTAAACTTAGTTATGTCAAAGATTTCAGTTTTTAGAAGTTACAGTGCAAATATCGCAAGGAGTGAATTCTGGTTTTAATGGAAAATATGCTAAATTCGGTAATATAATAAAATACTCCACATATATAGCTTTACCAGATTATTTATTGATATGACCTTATTTTGCTCTTTGCTTGCTTTCCAGAGGAGCTGTGTGTTGACCCTGTTACCATACCGATCAGCATCATACTTTAATGTAATTTGTAGGGATAATTGTGGGTAAAAAATGATTAAATAACTTAGTTTAGTAACCCCATCACTATCTCAAAACAATCACAGTAATGATATTCCTTATCTATTCTTATGCTGAAGCACTGACAGTGAAGCCAGCATGTCAGTGATGTGGGCCTGCCCTGCCTGGGGAAACATTCACAAGTAAGGCCAATAGCAAAGGTAGGATGTTGCAGTAATGTGAGGAATGTACAAAAAACACACAAGAGAAGACTCAACAAGTGGCTGTTCTACTGTGTAGACTCCCATTTCTGTTTGCATGGTAGTGCCTTGAGGGATAGAGGAATTGACATATTACCTGTGAGGTTGCATCAGAAAATGTCTATTACGTGTATTTTTATCCACACTTCACTGCTGCTTTACTACCCATTTGCAGCTTCTCAGGGCTCTATGAATAGGTGGCTGAAGCAAGTTGCCATGTGGTTCCTTTCGTCCTCTTGCACATCCTAAAATCGGTGCTCATCAGTGCCGTCAGGGAAGGGGCCCACTCAGAGGGTGATCAGCTGAAGAGATAGAATCATGTCCACAGTGTTAACATGTAAAGATCTCACTTTATTGAACATACCCCTCCCTGACAGTGGCCTTGCTAATTTGAATTGCTTTCTTCTTGGAGGTGAGCCAGTTGACTTTGTGCCATCTTCAGCTCCTGACACATGGAACTGCTTTGCTGGTGTACGAAAGGACAGAAGGAGCTATAGTGTAAGGCAGGGGTTCCCAATTAATTTTTCATGTGGAACCCCTTGACATAGTGTATCAACATTGTGGAACCCGCCAATTCCCACAAAAAAAAAAAAAAGAAATTAAGATTTTTCTCTGTTTGTGCCTGTGTGTGTGTGTGTATATATCTTACACACAGTGTGTATATGTCTGTGTATCAAGGTGTGTTTGTATGTACCAGTGTGTATGAATCTGACACACAGATATACACACTGGAAGATAGTGCCGCACACACACTGCCACAGATACATACACCTTGACTCACAGTGTGTGTGTATCTGATGCACAGATACACGCACATAATGAGATGCACACTGACACACGTTGACACACCAACCCACACTCAGATACCTAAACACATACAAACTCCCTACCAAACACACATACAATTTTTTTTTAATTATTTTTATTTTTTTTAACATTTTACTCCACACAGCCCCCCTACCTTACGTGCGCCTCTTGGTGATGCCGGAGTGACGTCATATTCCGGCTCCAGCTTCATTGCTGAGCAGGGAAATCACTGCTCACTTGCCACCCTCTGCCATTTTATTTTTTAAACTTTTGGTGGAACCATAATTGGGAAACGCTGGTGTAAGGAATGTGGATTTGTATTCCTTGCATTATACAATTGCCTTGCAAATACATCTCAATGAGCTGCAAGAAGGGGTAGACTTGTAAAGGCTGCAAACAGCTTTTCCAAGCTGTTTTTAGATATACCCCCAGTGAAAAGATGCATAATTAAATGCATTCATGTTTTCATAGTGGTTATATCTACCACATAGTTATTTTTATTTTATATTTGGGCATTGCAGTCTTTTAAAGCTGTTTTGAGTACAACCTTTAGGAGTTAAAATGTTAAGTCCTGATTTTGATTATGCAATGAAAAATCAAATATGTTATTTTTTGCAAATCAGATTTGAGTGTATTGTGTCACATCATAAAATAAATTGGGCTTCCCATCTGGCAATTAATTGAAAATAATAGGTCACTTTTGCTAGAGGCATGCATATCTCAGTAAAATAAATTCCATTGGAAATATTTCCCTCATTGAAATGTGCTTGGTCCTAAAAAGACTAGGGACAACTGGTTTAGATTTTTAAAGACAACAGTTCATATACTGCTGCATGTAATACTTTTGCAATTTTGGATTTATCATCACTCATATTCATATGCTTAGTTATTTGGCAGGTACAGGCATGAAAAAATTCTTGTTAAATGTATATTGTCAGAACATTCATGCTCCTTGCTACCTCCTCTGGCTAAAACAGAATTATCATAATGGGATTCACAAAACCACAAATTAAAAGTTGAGGATGACACGTTACTCTGCTACAATCACCATAAAAAACACACTATAGAATGTGCACACAATTGCCAGTTATTGCAGAGCTTAAAGTGTTACTCCAATCCTTTTTCGTTAAATATATATATATTTTAAATTTAGAATAACCCTTTGGCCTTAATAGATCTCGCCTATAAAGGGAAAGAAAAAAACTGTTGCAGAAATTACCAGGAATCCAGTGCTGGGCATAGCAAACTGTGCTGGTTTCCACACCTTTATTGACATCACAGCCAACCTTGCAAGGTCCAATCAAATGCTTCTCATAGGGAAAGAGCTTGGGGGGTGGGGGTATATTTAAATTAAAAAAAAATATATAATTACACACACATAAGTCAATATTGCATGGAGTAATGGGATGGCACATTCAAGCTTCCCCTTGCAGGCACTAGAAGGCTGTATCTGTCGCCAGCATACAGTGTGTTCTGACAACAGACATATGTTTTGCACAGAAATAACATTTGTCAGCACAGAGAAGAGTGCCAGGGATGCAATTATCTCCGTTTGTGCAGCATTTCAAGCAGAATATGCAGACTTCTACCACCATGGCCATTTCTAAAAGCAGTTGTCCTGGTGGTTGGAGTAACCATTTAATAAATTCAGTTAAATTTTGTTTCAGTACTCTCTCTTTTTCCAATGTGAGACCAGTGAGTTTGTCGCAGTGTAGAATGGAGCATACAGGGAGCATGGTGTCAAGGTGGACCAGTGCTAGTTTGTCCTAAGCTGAAATGTTGCATTGTATCACATTGAGGTGTTGCTCTAATAGGGCTTATCAGCCTCTTATAATCATGGTACATCAGTTCTGCACTTTCTGTATATGTCACAAATGGTAAAAAAAAAATTTCTAATTACCCAATGCACTGTACACTTGAATATATGTATATTCCTACAGTCCTCCAGATTATATGCTTACCATTTTATTTATTTGTGAACACAGTACATTTGAATGCAAACTGTTCTGGAGAACTTTCAGGGTTCTTAATAGTTAAAACTTTTTTTTAAAATTATATATATCTCAATTTAGTACATCTTTCTCTTTGGCAGCATGTTTTATACAGATTAGAGTTAGGTTTCTGATTTTATTCTCTCTCCTGAAGATGTAATGTTTTTGAATATTTCAAAATGGGTTTTGTTTTTTTACTTATCAGAATGGGCAGAACTTTTGCATTTTGGATGAACAGCGGTTTTCAAAAGAAATTCTTCCCAAGTACTTTAAGCACAACAACTTGTCCAGTTTTATACGGCAGCTTAATATGTGTAAGTACTGAGTGTCCTCATTTGTATACTTTGTCTTTCGATGTACCTGTCATCAGAAATGTGGCAAACTAGTAATATGAATTTACTGTACTTGCTCCCCCAGGTGTTTAGTCTTTTCTACTATGTTTATTGAGCAATCTTCACACATCTAAATTACCAATATCCTATAAAAATTTGTTTAACGTGACAGCAGCGATAGACTGAGACCACTGGGCTAACCCACACTTGTTTTTGTTAAAGGGACACTATAGTCACCAGAACAACTACAACTTATTGCATTTGTTCTGGTGGGTAGAATCATTTCCTTCAGGCTTTTTGCATTAAACACTGTCTGTCTTTTCAGAGAAAATACAGTGTTTAAATTAAAGGGACACTATAGTCACCTGAACAACTTCAGCTTAATGAGGTTGTTTAGGTGAGAACTATAGGTCCCTGTAGCCTTTCTCATGTAAACACTGTATTTTCTGAGAAAATACAGTGTTTACATTCAAAGCTAGGGACACCTCCAGTTGCAGTCACTCAAACTGCCACCAGAGGGACTTCTGAGTTGATTGAGGCATAAAACGCCTCAATCCACTCAGATCTGCTGTCAGCAGAGCACAGGGCAGCACTGTGCACGATCATCCTGTCTGCGTGGGAGTGGCTTGAGCGGACAAGCTGAAGACCGGAGACCGAGGAGGAGGAGAGTATTCAAACTGTAAGTAAACTTATTTAGTGAGTGTGGATATGGATGATGCGCATGGATATGGATGATGGGCATGGATGGAGAAAGTGTGTGTGTCTTAAATTTTTTACTACTTGTGTGCTTGCATAGAAACACTATATAGAGGTCTCTATATATAGTGTTTCTATGCAAGCATGCAAACACACGGTTTGGCTGAGGAAGGGGGCGGGTATAGAAAGCGAGCTGAGCGGTCAGTCAGCTCGCGAACACGCACATGCGCGGTTCAGCGCTGAGGTTCTTCATAGAGCGGCATTCAATGCCGCTCTATGAAGATTGCGATTGGTGCAGCATGAAACCGTGAATGCGCACCACATCGCGATGACGCTTCTCAAGGAGAAGCATCCTGTTGGGCCCTACGATTTCATCATTTTGCTGCAAAAGGGGGTGTGGCCTAGCGGGGAGCTTGGCACTGGAATGGAGGTAAGTTTTATTATTAAAACTTACTCTGAATTTTTATTTTTTATTTTTTTTTAAATGGCAAGTTCATATAAAAGCAAGAAAGAAGGCTGGGGGACCTGTCTTTCATGCTTTTATATGTTGACTATAGTGTCCCTTTTAAAGCCTAGGGATACCTCCACTGGCCACTCCACAGATGGCTACTAGAGGTGATTCCTGGGGCAGTAGATCAACTGATCAACTAACAGTGGAAATACTGTAGCAACAAAGAGATTCGCTGTTATACATTTTAAAGGAATACTATTGTGTCTGGAATACAAATCTTGAATCAATGCTTTCCTGTGGGGTTGTCCTAATGAGATCGGGGCACTCTCTGCAGTATCTCCGGAGGTGGGTACAGGTAAGTGACAGAAGGGTTTTTAACCCTTTCTACACGGGAGAGGCGCACATGTGAGGGCGGCACTATAGGGTACTGTAGTGCTTGGAATACAATTGGGTCCCTATCTTATAGTTCTACTTAAACACAGAAGCCAGATTTGGATATCGGGTAAGCCATTGTCTTGCACCCAAAAGGTATGGGAGTGGGTGAGGCCCATAAATATGAAAATTATAACTTTGTACATGCTTGCACATGTTCAGGTGCGGACAGTTATGGGAGGCCTACATTACCAATGTAAGACAAGTCCTCAATGCTTGCAGTAGAAGTTAATTGGGTTTTAAAAGTCCTGCTGTAGGGATTCCTCTTGCAGTTGAACTTGGGTTAGCTTGTTAAACCTCGTAGTCCTCTATTGTCACATCTGTCTTGCAATAAAGCTCATGGGAAAGTATGGGATCTAGTGCAATTTTATTAGTCTGCTCCTCACACACCACATTTCCCTGTCGTGGCTCATTTTCTTATGGATAAATCCATGTTCCTTAGCGTGAGAGTTTTTCCCCTCTTTAAATGGACAATGTAAGCATTAATACTACTTCAATGCATTTGATGGGGTTTAACTTCACTAAAATCTTTATAGTTTTTAGTCTTTATAGTTTTTTTTTGGCATAAGGGGCATTGGCTAACGGGGCAGGTTTATGGTGCAGCATTCTGAAAGCATTTATTTTGTGGAAAAAAATATTTAAGCATGCAAAAAAAAGTTGTATTGGTGCCTGGAGTGTTCCTTTAACTCTTAACACCATTTAGCACCACCTGTTCTCTCTCTCTTTACTGTCTTAGATAAGCAGTGGGTTACCAATCAAGCAAGTTTTTGCAGCTTAACTAATTAATGTCGCGCCCCATTGGCATACTGTGGTTTTCAGCGTTTTGCAGAATGTTTTAGAATTTCTTTGACATTCTAGCTCCATAAAAAATCTTTACAAAAAGATAAAGTAGTCCATAATCTGTATAAAGTGTGAGTTTGGTTTAAAAAAAAAAAAAAAAAAGTGGGGCTTTCGCTAGTGCCGCTTGTGGGAAAGAGGCATCTTATCACGCAAACTGGCCCAATTCTAGGGTTCTGCATTATTTTCTGTAGATCTCAATGTTGCAGTCTCACACATACTTTCATCATTCCGTTGCATGTGTATATTACACATTAAAGAACCCTCCACACCAAAACTAAACAACTGTCTATTTCTTAAAGAATTAGGCACATTTTATAAAGTGCCACTAAAACTGTCTATTTCTTAAAGAATTAGGCACATTTTATAAAGTGCCACTAAAATGGGATGATCTTTACCCATAGCACTTCAGCAGGTTCTGTAATTTTTATCCACTTACATTTTCTTGTATTCATTTGTCTCAATTAAAGGGAGGGGGGTGAGAGCTGAGTTTGAAAATAACGTGTATATTTAGTACCACTCCTTTGATACATTTTAAGGTGGCTTACTTTCAAGTTTCCCTTTATTTGCAGATGGCTTTAGGAAGGTCATGAATTTGGAAAGCGGACTTGTGAAATCTGATCGTGCAACAGCAATAGAGTTCCAGCATCCTTGTTTTAAGAAAGGAAAGGCGGAGTTACTTGAATTCATCAAGCGTAAGGTATGTTTATAATTGAGCATTATATTATTACATTAAACAAGGTATGTGGAACTGGATAAAAAGATCCAGATATAGCAAAAAAACATCAGACAAAAATAGTACTCACAAATGCAGCAAAGCCTCTCAGTGCTGCTCAAACAGTGACAATCCACAGTGCAAATCAAACAAATAGAGGCTGCGCAAAATGTTGCTATGTGCACAAAGTGCTACCAAAATTTATTGGAGGACAGAATAATAAACAGACGTTTCGGGTACAACCCTTTTTCAATGCACCTTGTCCCTCAATGCATCTGTTTATTATTCTGTCCTCCAATAATTTTTGGTAGCACTTTGTGCACATAGCAACATTTTGCGCAGCCTTTATTTGTTTGATTTGTACTGTATATTATTGCATTAAAAGAACCTATAGTGGTAACCTGCTGTGATAAAAATGAAACAAACTGGCAGTAATTTATACAGACCAGTATTTTAACTGCATTAGTTAATATATACCTTGTACGGCAGACATTGGTGACATGTTTAACTTCAGGAACACTGTTAGAAATACAATCCTGCCTTCCTAACGTTTAAAGAAATATTAAAATAAACCATTATTACTTTACCAGCTCCTTGGTATTGATCTCAGCCAATCCAGTGCTTCGATTGGGTGCCTAGTATGCATGTGCCATGCTATGCCTATCAGCATCTCTTCATACAGGTGCAGTGACACATTGCATCTTTATGGGGTAGTGTTCCGCGTCTGCTTGCGGAGTATGGGACACTGAATGTCTGTAATGCAAAGGTTTACAAGATCGCAGCTGGGAGACCCTTTTCTGGAGTTTACTTGTTAAATGTTAGAGGAGAATGATAACTCCTACCTCTCCCCATTCCATATGTCTGACAGAAATCTAATGGAACGTGGGGTTCTAAGATGTGTTCCATGAAATCTTGCAACAGCATGTTGAACAATACATTATGGTACTGATGTCTCTGACCTAAAATTCTAGATTCATTAAATATCACATGCTTTTGGAGGTGCTCTGACAATTGGTACAGGCAGGGAAAACAAGTGCACAATTCTCTAGGTAATACAGATCTGTTTTAACTTAAAAAAAATGTAAGGGTGCAGAATTAGCTTATGGCCATTGCGCAAACAAAAAACACACTTTAGGTGCTGCCAGCGCACACACCACAGGCAGGCATAATTTGGAATTTAATGAATAGCAATATTAGTGACTAGGTCTAAGCACGATCCCCAAGATTTCTAATTTAACAGAGCACTATAGTGACTCGTTTTCCTGGCATTATAGGGTTATTAGGTCTCCCTCCCGCTGGCCTGAAGGTGTTAAAACCCTTTCAGCCACTTACTTTAATACAGCGCCGGGCTCACTCAGCGCTGGTGACCTCCCCTCCCCCTGCCGAAGTCAGCTCCGAATGCGCATGCGCGGCTAGATCCGCGCGCGTATTCAAACCACCCACAGGAAAGCATTACTCAATGCTTTCCTATGGACATCCAGTGTCATCTCAGTGTGATTTTTCACACTGAGAATCGCAGAAGCGGTCTCTAGTGGCTATCAGGAAGACTGCCACTAGAGGCTGGATTAATCCTCATTGTAAACATAGCAGTTTTTCTGAAACTGCCATGTTTACAGCTGCAGGGTTAAAACTAGGTGGACATGGCACCCAGATCTCTTCATTGAGCTGAAGTGGTCTGGGTGCCTATAGTGGTCCTTTAAGTTACTGTTATTTTGAGTCAGGACAAGTAGATTGCGCTACCACTAAAAGTCCATTGGGCAAGTAAAGGGGCGGGTGTGTGTGTGTTTTGTGTAATTTTAATTTTAAATTTTTTTTTTTTTTTTTTTCTTCTGTGCAGGCTGCCCTGTTTTCCTCTATTGTTCGTCTTATACAATCACCACTATCAAACATTTGGGCTGGATTTATGTAACTCCTTAGGGCAGGTCTTGACAAATTTGCTTGGAATTTAGGAGCTGACAAAAAAAGGTAGCAGCTAGATTTTCCAATGTCAAAAATAAAATTCTTAAAGGGACTCTTAAGTCACCAGAACCACTACAGCTTAATGTAGTTGTTCTGGTGTCTATAGTCTGTCCCTGAACACTTTGCATTGTTGCCTAGTAACAAATCTAGTGACAGTCACTCAGGCGGCCTATAGAGGTGCATTCTGGGTCATTGCTGCACAGTGCGCAGCAACTATGTTCAGCGTCTCTATCTCCACACCCTGCATGGAAGCATTGAACGTTCCCCATAGAAATGTATTGTTTCAATACATCTCTCTATGAGGAAATGCTAGTTGGCGTAGCGTGGCGTTTTGCCACACATGCACAATAGCCTCCCAATGCTTTTCTATGGGGAAAACATTGGATTGGCTGAGATCATCAAAATTGATGATCGCAGTGATGGAGGCAGGGCCAGCTCTGGTGAGACCAGCACAGTGTTTCCATGTGATTCAATGGGTTCCGGTAACCTGAACAGACAATCGCTGAAAGACGCACACTGATTGATAGTCACTTACACACACACTCCCTGTCACTGCAACAATCACCCAGCCTTCCCTTTGGAAGAGCTGAAGTAATTTGACTTTCCATGGGGTCCAGTGGGGCTTCTGTCATCTCTCTGCTCTGATCCCGGTTTACTGATTCCGAAGGCAGAATGTCATATTCCGGCCCCTGCTCTCCTTTTAGCAGGCCGCCAGCACGCAGCCTACTACCGTCTGGGCTGAATAGGTAGAAAAATCTCAGACGCAAGGGCGCCTGGGATTTGTTACTATTTATTCTATTACTTAAAATCAAAGTGGATAAAAATCAAGATATTATTTTTTATTTTATTTTTTTATACTTAAAAGCAAAAAATCTTCAATATGAAACTCTGCACATACTGAGATGTTTTACATTGCTGTCAGAGGTTTAACTCCATTCCCAGCTCTGTCATTTGTACGTCAGCTCACGTGTATTAAAGTTCTAGGCTGGCTAATGTCAGTTCTGTGCATATTTATTGCACAGTGGGTCATTTATTGGCTGAAAGTGCTCAGCTGACTCTTCCAGACATCGAATGACTGGTGGGATATGCATCTGGCTTCTGCAGAAGCAGAATGTGCATCACCCAGCACCAGAGGATGCTAGTCACCCAGGGGTGACCCAGGTTAGAGGGCAAACCATTGCAGTTCATGTTTTTAAAGATATTTAAGAATGTCCATTAACAAACATTGATATTTAACCAAACACAATTAGTTATAGTTAAATAACACCATTTTAAATTGTTTTTCAAATATGAGTGATAGTTCACCTTGCAATGATTTCATCATTCTATACCATATGATGTACTTTTATAAGAGACTTATAGACCATGAGTCCTCCTGTGAGAGAGGAGCATGTCTTTTGTATTGCATAAATGCCAAGTCTGGTAATGGAAGGTAAACGTCTTAATTATTTGACGCCGTAGTTGTTGTGGTGCTTAAAACCATAACAACTACTATATGAGTCTTATACACAGCCCAATATCAAAGTATAAGTTACGAATGGGTGGTGGGTTTTTATTTACTTTAAATAGTTTGCATTGCATGTCTGGGTGAGGGCCATGGGGAGGACCCTTCACAAACCCACTTCTGTATTAAATCCGTTGAGAACCATTCCACAGTAGTAGAGGCAAGGGGGTGGAAGTAATTAGCAGTATTACTATTGTCTGTTGCTTGTTTCTAACAGTAAAATTAGGACAGATCCAAGTTCTCAGATTTTTATTAAAATGTCTAATATTGCATGGAGAAATCAACTATGTATAGAAGTTATTTTTGTTCAAGTGATTTATTAATTCGTAGTTTGAATTAAACAATTCTCTTAAATTGAAAATTAATCTGCACATCTAATTAGTTATATTCCCTAATAGTTCGCCAGAGGGAGACATTTATATATATATATATATATATATATATATATATATATATATATATATATATATATATATATATATATATATATATATATATATATATATATACACATATACATACACACACACACATACGCTGTTTTAAGGCCATTTGGCCTGTATTTGTGGGAGGGGCTTAAATTAGTTCACTCCCCTATATAAGGGACACCCCTTACCTGACTCATATCGCTTGAGGTCAGCATCAGAATGATTTCCACTTCCGGGTCATCCAGACGCCATTTTACCTGATTACTCCATGAGGTTTTCTAAGCTGAGCTGTGTCAGGAATTCAGCCACAGGCTTTTCCGGCCTTCCACATTCTTTCTTCAATCTATCGCTGTGGATGGTGTCCAAGTGACTCACAAACCGTAAGTCGACCTACCCGTTACGCCAGGCATCAGTCCCACGGCACCATGCACGGGTCAGGTCCTCACTTTACGGCTGCATTTTGTCTAAATCTGTCCTAAAACCATTGGATGTTCATGCATATCATTTGTTTAAATTCACTTGTTTTATATCTGTCACTAGCTCATTTCGAGCATTAGCATACTCCCAAACGGGAACACATTCTGTTTCAATTGTCTAAACATACTAGGCAATTCTGTGCGTGCATTTCGAATCTTACTGCTCGTTTCGTTTTGTTTCCCTGACATACCAGGCTCACGGTTCGTGCAATTTTCTACCAAACGGGTACTAGTTCATGCATTTACTATTGTACTACACACACGCTTCGTGCGTTTACAACCATGAACAGAACTTTGGTTTGTTACAATGACTGTTATTAAGCTATTATGTTCACTTATTGTATATTGTCAAACGGCACTGTTTGTTTCCCTGTCACACAACTATAATGCTGGGGCATAGCTCACAAACAATGTTTCACATAAACCACACTGAGCCCTACAGGTCACTCTCAAAATCTCACGTTAACCTTGCATTTGGATTAACCCCTTAAGGACCAAACTCTGGAATAAAGGGAATCATATGTCACACATGTCATGTATCCTTCAGGGGTTAAAGGGTATTTTACCATACAATCAGCATTTCTGACCCCTACTGGTCAACAGCAAAACTGTCTTCACATGTCATATACAATTACCAGCCAATATAAATTACACATAAGATTGTTTTAAACATAACCATAAACCATGAATTAAACTCCAACACGGGCTCAACTTCAGGTTTAATTCACAATAATTTACATTTCACATTAAGACTAACAGTGGTTCTATCAACACTGCCACCTACAGGTCTGTCAAGTACATTGACAATTTTCATGGGGTTTTTCATGGGGTTTTTCATGGGGTTTTACAAACACCAAAACACTGACCCTTATAGGTCAACAGACAAACAACATTTCACATACCAATCAGTATCAACTACACTGCCACCTATAGGGCACTCGGCAGATCTCCAGTGCACTTGCATTTTGCAACTCCATGTTCACTTGCCATTCAATAAGGCATACAACAATTCACATAGCAAGCAGTATATCAATATCTGTTATAAATACACATATTATTACATAGTAGCACACGCATCTGTATATACGTAACTGGTAACATGGTTCACTTACATACGGCACTTAATGGGTTAAGATTGATACATATTTAACCAGTATGGATATGATGTTTAATATTTACATATCACGGCACTTTACTTTCACATATACTGTATGTTTTAAGATAAGCTTGGTCTATGCCATATTTCCTTATGCCATAATTTTATCCATTCAGGTTACAGTTACTACTAAAAAACCTATACGGATTGTCCGGTTCAATACCATACTACCAGGTACGTACACCTGCTCACGTAATTATCCATCTCTTACCTTCCCTGGAATAGTAATAGTGTACCGGCAATTAGGGTTCTAGGGCCCAATAGGTATTACCCCCTTTTTTCTCTGCATTATGCTTCGGTTAGTGGTCCCGCGAGGCCAACACCCCGCCTCACACTCGGAGGCATACACCCCTCGGGCCACTCGTGAGCTAGCCGCCTCGCATTGTATCATAGAGAGGGCCTCACCTGTCACTCCCCTTCCTATTTTTCTGGTTACTGTCACCGAGAGGCCAACATCCTGCCACAACGTTCGGTGGCCACACAAAATCCCCTCGCGCCAAGCATAGATAGAGCCTCTCAAGCCACTTGGCAACTAGCAGGGCCTCACCAGTCACCAAAAAACACCAAGCCTAATCGTTTCGCCTTACGGCTTAGCTAGCAAGCCGGTACAAGACCCCTGGGTACAAATATATAATTGCAATCTTTATTGTTATTTAAGTATTTCTCAAAAAGATGGTAAAGAATCACCTCTTCCTAGCACCACGGCTAGAAGTGATACACCTTCATCTCTTACCTTCCCTGGAATAGTAGTAATGTACTGGCAATTAGGGTTCTATGGCCCAATAGGTATTACCCCTGTTTTCTCTGCTTTATGCTTCAGTTAGTGGTCCCGCGAGGCCAACACCCCGCCTCACACTCGGAGGCATACACCCCTCGGGCCACTCGTGAGCTAGCCGCCTCGCATTGTATCATAGAGAGGGCCTCACCTGTCACTCCCCTTCCTATTTTCTGGTTACTGTCACCGAGAGGCCAACATCCTGCCACAACGTTCGGTGGCCACACAAAAATCCCCTCGCGCCAAGCATAGATAGAGCCTCTCAAGCCACTTGGCAACTAGCAGGGCCTCACCAGTCACCAAAAAACACCAAGCCTAATCGTTTCGCCTTACGGCTTAGCTAGCAAGCCAGTACAAGACCCCTGGGTACAAATAATAATTGCAATATTTATTGTTATTTAAGTATTTCTCAAAAAGATGGTGAAGAATCACCTCTTCCTGGCACCCCGGCTAGAAGTGATACACCTTCAAGCAGAGGAGATGTGGCTCCAACCTAAGGAGGCGACAAATCCCCTACCCTGCCACAGCAAGGAAAGCAGAGTTATTCAAACTCCTCCATACATCAACGGACAACACGGAGGCAGGGGAAGGCCCAGCAACACCAACTCAGGTGACACCCAGGCCATGCTAGCCTCACTCATAAACTCATGAGCCAAAAAATTTACGACAGACTGGCAATCTCGAGTCAGTCACAGCCCTCACAAGGCTGGGCCTCACGCTACTGTACAACCAGCACCAACCGAAACTCGGTTACTTGGTACAAGACGTTAACCCTGCACATATGATCCCGGCACATTGGGGAAACAAGGCATATATATGTATGATGTATCTATGATGGTCAGACCCAGGGATTCTAGGTAAATCGGGAACTGACCATCCCTTGGTTGTGTTGGCATTTGGAATATGTAGAGATGCTTATTTGTGCAGGTACCCATACAGAAGGGATTTTCTCCCAAACAAACAGGCGAGCACTCTCAGGCTCCAGGTACCAGCACCTCTGAACTACCAGAGACAATTGGTATTAGTAGTTGCATTGCATATATGTTCAAATCATTCAGGGCACATGACAAACCATGTGTCCCAATACAACTTACAAATAACGTACTCACCATCTGTACACACCAATGCATTTTCAACACTACTGACTCATCACCCTTCCAGACTTGTAGTAGATTTACTAAGGCTCTGGAGCTTCAAAGGGCTCCCATACAGGTATAAATAAACTCTCAAGAAATATAGTATGCCCTCACTTACAGTCAGCACAACAGAACCGTCGGCTGTAAACACACTCATAGCCAAGATTTGCAGAGGGGTTTTTACTTGGGTTTTCCAATCTCCACCATTTACAGCATGGCACCAAACACATTGGTATTGTCACAAGGGAATCTTCCCTTAAACAAAGACTAACCATAGACTTATTGGCACCACACACCTTCGCTACCCCAAGTCTCAACTCCCTCATACCCTCCGAGGAGTTTCCTTACTATACACACCATTGATCTACCTTTACAGCGATCACTCAAGCATGGGTTGAAGCTTCGTTAAGTAAGACCAATATCATCAACACAGTAAACGGCTACCATCTACCCTACAAACTGGCACTTACATGGCATAAAATGGGCAATCCTATCCCCGCTAAAAGCAGCTGCTGTGGCATGGGGTAAATCATGGTCAGGGTCATCAATCCGTTGTTACTCAGACAACTAAGCATATGTCATATCATCAACAAATGCCACTCATCATCCATACGATCATGGTATTGCTGGGGAACTCACTTGGTTGGCCACTTACCACATTTCTTTTACTTTCATGTACCAGGCGGGGGTATACATCCTTGCCGACAATTGTCTCATTTATATTCCAGGCACGTTCATCATACGCTTCCTACAGCCGCCCATACAGTCATGGCCACTCTTTTGTTCCAGAGACAAAATCATGGATTAGACATACTCATGCAGCATAGCATGCACTATCCCACCTAGCACTTTCATCCCATACTTGTAGAACACATAACACATATTCACCTGGCTTTAAAGAATCTCATTGGAACATGACATAGCTCAACCTGTCATAACATTTCTCCTCATTTTTTGCCACCTTTAAACTAAAACCACCTCACACACCATTAATTATATATTTTACAGGCATTCAACAACACAGGATAACCTATGGCCAAAACTACCATAACTTCATGCTATCATACCAGACAAGAATATACTCAGAGGTTTTCAGGAATCCATCCCCCCACGTTCCTCTCAGATATTACCAATAGCCATCCTACTTTTCCATCCTTATCGGACCTATTAGAGCTACAACCATTCAATTATACTACCAAGTTGGCCATTACCAGCCATGCACACTGCCTTTTATGCCTTTCTCAGGCCAGAGAATCCACTACCATAACCACCACTCAGACAGATCATTGTCTTCAACGATCCCACGTATGTAAACACATATATCATTACCTATTGGCTCTACCACATTCCGAAACGAGTCAACACGCACCAACAGTAGAGATAACATACTATCCTACCCACAACAAATGGTGTCCAGTTGCGGTCCTAGATTCCTACCTTCAAAAATCCTTCAAGGAATTAAATACCGTAATGCATTTAAGGAAATGTCTGGTTAATTTGTATATATTGTTGACTGTATTAAATCTTTGATTATTCTTTTTGCCCTCTTTATTTACAGGCCTACCGTATCGTCGGTCTCGGCACACCACAACCGACTTGCTCCCTTTATACTATCCTACGCTTATGCTGGAACCTTACTCCATATACGGCTATTTGCCCCGAACACAAGTTTTAAGGCCATTTGGCCTGTATTTGTGGGAGGGGCTTAAATTAATTCACTCCCCTATATAAGGGACACCCCTTACCTGACTCATATCGCTTGAGGTCAGCATCAGAATGACCCTCCCACCCACTCCTCATTTCAACACTTTCTCTTTTCTTTCCATTTACTTTACTTACTTACTCCTTGGTGGGCCCTCTTTATTTACAGGCCTACCGTATCGTCGGTCTCGGCACACCACAACCGACTTGCTCCCTTTATACTATCCTACGCTTATGCTGGAACCTTACTCCATATACGGCTATTTGCCCCGAACACAAATATATATATATATATATATATATATATATATATATATATATATATATATATATATATATTTTTTTTTTTATTATACACATCAGAGCGAAGAGTCTCTTTATCATTGATGTGTGCCTAGTTGCTTGCTCTGTGTTTATCCTTAAAGGGATTCTATTTGTTAGGAATACAAAGTTGTATTCCTAACACTATTGTATAGAGATGCATGATCATAAGTTTTTCAAATAAAAGTGTAAACTCCGGTGTGGGGGTTAACCACTTATAATAGAATCAATATGTAAGTGAACTGAATCAGGAGTTTGTTAGGGTAAGGTCATTTCATCCCTACTTGTCAGGAGTCCTTATAAAAAAAAATATATTGTTTAAAACTTACACGTAGAACAGGGTTCGACAAATCCCAGGTCGCCACGGCGACTATATATGTCACCCTGGCGTCTGGGATGTGCCAGCTCTCTAATTAGTGTGGCCGCGGCCGTCACAGGGAATATTGCAGGTGGCCGCCCGGGGGAGCATGGAGGTAGGCTGCCGACCGCAGGAGCATTGTGGACAGCGCGTGAGGGAGCAGTACTCTGTAGCTCCTCTCTGCTCCCTCGCGCTGCGTAATTATGCCGGGAGCTGGAATATGACGTCATTCCGGCCCCGGCATCGCTGCAGGCAGTGCGAGGGAGCAGAGAGTTGCTACAGAGTACTGGTGTGTGTGTGTGTGTGTGAGAGCCTGTCTGTGTGTGTGTGAGAGCCTGTCTGTGTGTGTGTGAGAGCCTGTCTGTGTGTGTGTGTGAGAGCCTGTCTGTGTGTGTGTGTGTGTGTGTGAGAGCCTGTCTGTGTGTGTGTGTCTGTGTGTGTGAGCCTGTCTGTGTGTGTGTGTGAGCCTGTCTGTGTGTGTGTGGCCTGTCTGTGTGTGACCTGTGTGTGTTGTGTGAGCCTGTGTGTGAGCCTGTTGTGTGTGTGTGTGTGTGTGTGTGTGTGTGAGCCTGTAGGACATTAGTGTAGGACCTGCCAAAGATGGGGTTACGTTGTGGCAGGCTTATGCAATGTATGTCATATAATGTAACTAATATTAGGTGTTTAAAAAAACTAATAAAATCTTTCAACATTGAAGTTGCTGTTTAGTGGATAGGTGAGTGCGCTGGATCTTGTGTTTTGTGTTTTATATATATATATATATATATATATATATATATATATATATATATATATGTGTATGTATGTATATATTGTGTATGTATGTATATATGTGTGTGTGTGTGTAAAAGTGTAATTTCGTTCTAACTAATTTTTAAAATTAATATATTGATATCAAAATACACGTAGCACGAAATAAAATATGTGTGTGTGTGTGTATATATATATAATATAATTTTTTTATTTATTTTTTTATTCTACGTATATATTTATGTAATCATTTTATTAATTACAATTTGCCTGACAACCCAGGCCGAAAGTCCAGGGAATTTAATTTGCTAGTACTATATTTAATCCTGTAACTTCCCAAAACACCATAAAACCTGTACATAGGGGGTACTGTTTTACACATGAGACATCGCTGATTACAAATGCGTATTTTATTGCAGTAAAAGCAAACAGTATTATGACATTCACAGTTAAAATGTCACCTAGAACTAAAAAACGTTTTAAAATTCTTTTCTCACATTTAAAAAAAAATAATATTTTATTCATATTAAATTATGTTTCATACCTAAATATTTGATGTTAAATGAAAGCCCTGTTTCCCCCGAATAAAATGATATTTAAGTGTGGGTGCACATAATATGAAAGAGGCAAATTACGCATGAACAACATATAGCGCAAATTCAAGTTTTTGTTTTGATCACAACGTTCGTTAGTAACTGAATTTATATGTTGGAGAACTCTTCTCAGTTGCTGATGTGTTTTACCTACATATTGTAATGTGCAGCTGCATGTTATGATGAATACAACTCATGTGGTGCTGTAATTGATGAAATCCTGTATTGGGTATTTGTTTTTGGTTCTGGAGAACTCAATTGTCTTGGAGGGCTTGATGAACTCACACGCTTTCCACCTACTACATCTATATATTCCTTTAGTCTGAATCAACCATGTCTCGGAATTTGTTAGTGGTTCTAGGTGACAATGCTAGTATGTCTCGGAGATGTTTTGGTCTACGTGCTGTTATACTGGGGAGTGGTGCAATGATTTCCTGTTAGTTCTGATTGTGTCTTAGGATTTGCCAATTTTTAGAAAATATTTCTTCTACCGAGTTCCAGTGTTGGTCGTATGTTGATATGCAACGTGTTTGTTTGTCTGGGGATTCAGTTCTTACAGTCCTCAAACATGTGGACCTTTCCATAGTGTTAACTCTTTGATATGTCTTCTTTAGAACCCTGTTCGGGTAACCTTGTGCCTTACATATTTGTGTAATTTATGTTGCTTCTTTTCTTCTTTCTCTAAGGTATTGGCCATATGGAATTCCTGCTCTTGAAAGGGTGATGGCTCTGCCAGTGTAGTAAATTGTTGGTGGCAGTAATTTTACGGAAGAGTTCCGTGGTGACTTGGCCATCTATAGTTAGATTTGAGGTCCAAGAATTCCAATTCACTCTCATCTATCACCGAGGTCAATTGTAACCATATATTGTTCTTAGTGAGAGTTTGTTAAATTTGTCAATTGAGCTGGTCCAAAAGAGAAGCACATCATCGATGTAATATACCACTTGATTATGTATTTGTGGTATTCATCCTTGATGGTTTCAGATAGAATTGTTTCCTCCCACCAACCCAAGAACAGGTTGGCATAGCTAGGCTCACAAACGTGCCTTATAGCTGTGCCTTTCAACTGCAGATAACAATTACCATTGAATACAAAGTAATTGTGAGTTCAAATAAAACACAGTAGGTCAATTAGAAACTTAATTTGGGGGACGGAATATTTGGATGATTTCTCCAAGAAGTACGATGTTGCTTCTAGCCCTTTCTCATGTGGAATGTTGCACAGTGCAACCACGTCCATGCTTGCTAATGGAGTGTAAGGAGGTACCACCAAATCTTCTAGGGCCAGCAGGGTTTGTTTGGTATCCTATAAATAGGAAGTTAGATTTGTTACAAAGGGATGTAATATATTGTCTAAGAACTTGCTGACATTTTCTGAGAATGGTTGCCTGAAACTATTGGTCTTCCAGATGGGTTGGTTAAGTTTTTGTGTACTTTAGGCAAACAATAGAAGGTGGCGATAGTAGGTATATTTTTCGGCTTGATGAATTTTAATTAATTGTTTGTATTGATGTTATCATTGGCTGCTGAGGTAAGCAGTTGCTTAAGGAGAGCTAGGTAACCAGATGTCCGGTCCCCAGACAATTTGGTATAACAATTATTCATTTGGATGCATTCTTAAGAAAGACTATAGTCTCAGTGTGGCTTTAGCCTTTATTTAGCTATTCAGATTTTAATTTGCACAATGTGGAGTAAAATCAAAGTTAAATTTCCTTTATATATAATCTCCCTACCAGTGTGTTTGTCTGTAATATAAATCGTACATTTGTTTTAAAAATGATCACTGTTTGTTGTAGATATCATCTGTAAAATCAGGAGACCTGCATTTGTCACAGGAAGAGTTGCAAAAAGTTTTTTATGAGTTGCAAGAACTAAAAGAAGCTCAGGGCGATGTGGACACACAGCTGCATAACATGAGACGGTTGGTGCTGGATCAGTAATCTGTCTATAACCCATTATGATTGTTTCGCTATTTTACCTATGGGGAATTTAATAATATCTGTTTTGTTTTTGTTTTTTTCTTCTTCTCAGAAGGGCAGAGTTTGCAGCAGTTTCTAATTGCTGTCCTTTATTTATTAACACAAGAACAGAATATGAGAACAGACAGCTTAGATTTACTTACTTACAAAGCCTGCCATTTTACTAAATCTCTGCTGAGGTCTCAAAATTTTTTTTTGAGTTTTTGCTCACTTGTGCCATTACAGAGTGACCATTTGCATATAACAATGATCCCGTCCACAAGGGAAGTCCAGATACGAAATGCGAGATACGAAATGCCTATGTGCCCATTGAGTGAGAGATGCCGCTCTTAAAGGGGCACTCCAACCATCATAATCACTACCCTTCGTTTTTATCTAGATTTCTTTAGCTAACAGGACGCCCTCTTTCACCTTGACACAATCTGAAGAATCACACCACCTTCATTCAGCCATTCAGGTACTTGTATGGCATGATTAGGCATTACCAGTCATTCCTATAAGGGCTGTACATTTAGGATTTTGCCCATACAGCTTCCTTTTTGAGAATTTAAAGTCAAAGTAACAGCTTCATAACATAACTGACTAGTGCATTTGAAGTAGTTATAGAGTGCTTGGACTGCCCATTTAAATGGCAGATTATAAAAGGTTATGTCTCTTCCTATGTTTGTTTTCAGAGAAAATGAAGCTTTATGGAAGGAAGTATCTTCCCTGAGGAGAAAGCACAGCCAGCAGCAAAAACTGCTTGCAAAGGTGAGATGTGTATATCAGGTACTGCTTAGACTTCTTAGTCTTACTATAATATATGAAAGATATGATGGCAAAATCTAAATGACTTCTATTTAGCTGTATAGTTCTCTCATCTGCCTTCTCAGCCTTTTTTTGTGAGAAAACCTAAGAATTTTTTTTTTTTTCTCTTTAACATCAGATATGTGTTCTGTCATTTTTTTTTAGTTTTTTTCAAAAGATGTATTTTCAGCAATTGGCAGAAACTAATATCATATCTTTACAAAATGTATTTTTTTTTACTGTTTAGTCTCACCTCTTTAGGGGTTATCTTTCTCTCCTAATACTAAAAACCTTAACTTTATTTGTACTTCTAAAATCATTAAGCCTTATCTACAGACCTTTTGTATTTAAATATTGTGAGACAAACATTTACAGGGTGTGATTTATAGTAAACTGCTTACCGTAGTTCTGAATTGGAACTTTAATAGTATCTCTTAATTGTAATACATGCTATAATCAGTTAACCACAACTTTCATACCATACATTCAAATTGGACATACATGTGAAACATATAGACAAGACAACTTCGGTAAGAGCATATTTTTTGTATTCTTAAGAATCCTATTTAGATATGACAGAAGGAGAGGGTTTCAGGAGCTGAGTGTATGATAAAATAAATTCAATGCTTGGTAAGCTTTATGTTTGTTTGAGCGCTCCACTTATAGGTGTAGGTCTTTGCTACTTATACCGCACTGTATTTTATATGAGTGTTTAGTGGAAAAGAGGATATTTCCACATAAGTGTATAGAGCTGCTTGTTAATCACTCTTATTCTTGTTTAAAGCACTTTGTTACACACATTCCTCCGTCAAAAGAGGTAACTTTAGATGTGTTAATAGTGCTCTGTGTTCAAAACCACATCTAGGGAAATCTAAATGAAAGAAAAATGTTTGAGGAGATAGTTCATCCTGTATTCTAAGAGCTTTGAAAATGTATTCAATATTTTTCTTAATCTCCGCTAAACCATTACAGCCCCACCACATATGGTATAATGTTCCCACCGCTCTTAAACATCTCCAGCATGTATCTGAATGATCATGTTTAAATTTCTTAATTCTGTGCGGGGTTATTCCTGTGAGTAATTTTGAAGAATGTTTCGTGTAGACTCAAGCTATGGGTAATTTTCTCAACTTGTGGGAAAACTTTTTAAATATTTTTCCCATTTTTTTTTTGTTTTTTTTTTTGTATCGATCGGGGTTTATCTGTGTCTATAACAGAATAGAGAGGTACTTGCCTACTGTTATCAGTTTAATTAAAACATAACATTTAATATATTGATTAAAAGTATTACGGTTGGTAAATCAACAGGTAAACTAGAAAATATTTATTGATTATAAGACTCAATAATAGAATCCAAAAAAAAAAATACATGTAAGATTAGTTAAGTCTGTTTGTGTATTGCTGGAATTGCAGGGTGAGCCCAAGTATTAAAGAACTTGTAGTGTTTCTTAAGAGATGCCAGTAAAGCTGAAACTGGCAATCCCAGAAAACACAAGATATCGAATAGAGTAAATATAACAATTTGATCAAAACTATAGTATACTATTGTTGCAGTTTTCCTTGGAGGGAACAATTATATCGCTATGCTAAGGTTATACACTCTAAGAGACCACGTCTAGACTTTTTTTTAGAAGTGTATAGGGAGGAGTCTGTGTTTTCTAACGCTATTAGGGTCTCTTTGGTATCTTGAAGATATGAAGGAAGTTCTTTTACCGTGGGATGTAAAATATTTTAAATGAATTTACTCTTTCTCTAAGGCTATTGTTCCCTGAAGCCTGGGGGATCATTAATGGTTTTGTGAACTTTGGGCAGACCGTAAAATGACGCTATTGTTGGATTATAATGGGGTAATTTATATTGTAATTCTTAATGTGAAATGATTTTCTGATTGCTGGCATTTATGAGAAGGTGTTTTAGTTCCATCAGAAACTTAGATGTAGGATTTGAGTTGGTAGCAGTGCGAATCTTTCAAGTGCTCCATGCACAATTTTACATAATTTTAACGTTTCATAAGGACAATATTACCACCATTGTCAGCAGGTTCTATAATTGTGTCTTCAGCCGATCTAAGTACTCTTAGAGACATCCTTTTTGTGGATTGAGGTATTGTGGTCTTGTGTAGATGAGTTAATTTGTTCTAATTCCGGAGTTGTAAATTGAACATATAAATCTATTTGTGGAACTTCGGAAAAGTTGGGAGTATACCAACTCCTAGGTTTTAAATTACTCATTGGTCTTGGTGAATCATTTTCATCTAATACATCTGTGAGGGTTTGTAAATGAGTGTTATATTCCATGTTTAGCCCAAAGTCTTTTGTTAGTGGGTGTTTGTTTTTGTTTTTTTGTTTTTTTTTTTTTGGTTTTTTTTAATTTATTTTTTTTATGCAAAACCTCTAGAGCCAATTTTCTGCCAAAGAGGTTGATATCTTTAGTCCATTCAAATTTGTCCCAAGAAACACTAACAGTTCTTTAATACTTGGGCTCACCCTGCAATTCCAGCAATATACAAATAAACTATTAACTAATCTTACTTGTATATTTCACCTTATGTTTTTGGATAATTTGATATAATTTTTTTTTTTTTTTATTTATATTGATAGTCTTTTATAATCAATAAATATTTTCTTGTTTACCTGTTGATTTACCAACAGTAATACTTTTAATCAATATATTAAATGTTATGTTTTTTAATCAAGCTGATACCAGTAGGCAAGTACCTCTATTCTGTTAATTTCTATTTAGGGTTACCCCCTTTATCTTGCCTCAGCATCTCTGACATTCCTTCTTCCTACCCCTTTACCCATTAAAATATGTGTCTATAGAACATTTTAACACTTGAGAGGTTTTAGAAATGCTTTTATTTGTATAATGTTTATTAATGATATTCTCAAAGTTACAATACTATTTAATCTGTAGATGCTTAATTAGGTGATGAATTCTTATATAATTCTACAATTCATTTTTCTATTAATCCAAATTGGTTTTTTTAACTCTGCAAACTATTTAAATTTCGCCAGTGGGGCAATTTGAGAGCGGTTATGAATTCCACAACTTCAACAACAATATAATTTTTTAGAATAATAAAGTTTTGTTTTAATGACATTACCACGCATGACGTAAGAGCGCACGATGGGACATTATCACGTGGGCATGTTTAGGGGCGGGCCACTTCGTAAGTTACACTGGCCGCCGCCATTACTCTGTATAAATAAATGGTAGTTTCACTCCTGCAACAAGGGGCATTCCAGTCCCGAGCGCACAGCCCAGGCAACAGGAGACGTTGACCAGACCGGATGGGGACTACCCTTCATCACCACTTATCTGATAAAGTTACATCCTCTAACTCCAGAACACAGAGAACCTCACCGGTCCACTTTATACCCATCCACAAGTGTTTGTACTCCATTCTGCACCCTATATTTACAGCTTCAAACGATCTGTGGTGAGATCCAACTGATTTTTTTTTTTTCATTCATTAAGCTGCTTATTTTTCTATTTTCCATTTTTTTACTTTTTCACTCTTCATTTTTTCACTTTTTTAATTTTTTCAAAAATGTGCTGTTTGATCAGACTATCAATTGCTATTAGTGGATCCACCAGACTATATATGAACTACCAGTTTCATCAAACGTATATTTATAGGGTGTGTATAGTTGTATATATTTTGTCTTAACTACTGTAGATGAATTAAGAGTGTGCATCGCTCTGTATATTTGTCAATAGTGGTATTCGTTTTTGTGGATGATTTTCTTCCTTTTTTTCCTTTTTGTCATTAAGTGTATAATAAATGAATTTTTGCATTTCAACATATTGAATCTTTTTGATGCATATTATATGCCATTGAGTGCAGTATTAATAGTTATTTATTTGGCAAGAATTTTTGGCCCAGCCTGTCCCTGTGTATGTCAGCTGTAGCTTTTCTGGTCTTTATCCTGGTTCCTGGGACATTACAACATCCATATACTGAACTGGAATAAAGTTACTATACTGTTATGTCTTGCAGTATCCTATGCTATATACCATGTTCGGCAACTTTTTTTTGCATGTCTAAAAGGGCACACTTATTCAGGGGCTCCTGTCAAAATTCATAATTGAAGTAGTTGAATAAACTATAAAATTATAAAAAATAAAAAAAAAATGTTCAATTAAATGCACTTGCAGAATCTTTCAGTGATGACATTACATCAAAATAAAAAGCAATGTAGAGTTACACGGTTTTGAATAGAACATTAGTCTATAATTTTTTTTCTTTTATGTCATGTCATCACTGATTCTGGCAATTTACTGTAAGTCATTTTCATAAGATGCATTTGTTTCACACACACATTTTGTTATACAGCAGGCATGGTCTGTATTTTGACTAATATAATGTTTTCTTCTTCATAGATACTTCAGTTCATCATTGGTCTAATGAGAGGAAATATAGTAATGGGAAATAATCGAAAAAGGTATTTATAGTTTACATGTGTTTATTTGTGATGTCTTTGCCTATTTGTGCACCGTAATGAATCCAAAGCATGTTTTAGGACAGTGGTCAGCAACACATGGCAGTTTGCCATGCATGGCACTTGAGGTGGCTTTGCACAGCGCTCAAAGCTACCAGAGACAAATCGAGGGACTTCAGATATCTGCTAGTGCAAGTATATATGTGATTGCAGGTGATGATGGATACATTTCAGTGTGTGCATTGCAGCCCTTACAGGAAGTGGTCTGAGATCACTTCCTCCTCGCACATATGAATAAGAATCCACACTTGAGTAGTGCAGCCTGTAGCAGCTATTGACACTCCTGTTCTTGACCTGTACCTGATCGGCCCAATCCTCACAACCAAGACCCCAGGGAAGCCACCCACACTTTTTTTTTTTTTTTTTTTTTATACACAGAGCTAGAAAAGAAGCCTCCCCCTCATACACAGTGTCACTTACACACTCTCACTAACACACACACACTCTCACTCACATACAGTATCACTAACACACACACACTCACTGACATTCACCGTGTCCTTTACACACTCTCCGTGATACACACTCTCTCTCTGGTTTAACACGGTTATATCATTCTCGAACCTTGCACATATTATGTCAGAGGCACCGTAGCCTCACCAGCCAAGAGCATCTCATTGTACTCTATTATCTGTACACAAAAACACTTTCAAGCAGGGGTCACATCACATAGTATGAGTGGAACATCTGAATACAATTATTTCAGCCCATCTGTTTTGTACTAGGCTTTGGGCTCTCTAAAGTTAGTAGAGAGATCCTTCATATTTCTTGTCTTTAAAGGATCACTATAGTGTCAGGAAAACAAACTTGTTTTCCTGACACTATATAACCCTTAGGTCCCCCCTTTCCGCTGAAGGGGTTAAAACCCCTTCAGTTACTTACTTTAATCCTGCACTCTGCACCTGGTAACATCTCCTCCCACGCCAACGTCGGTTCCCTAGTGGAGCGGAATACAAATGCGCGGCAAGAGCCGCGCGTGCATTTAAACAGTCCATAGGAAAGCATTTCTCTAGAGGCTGGATTAACCCTGCAGTGTAAACATAGCTGTTTCTTTGAAACCGCTATGTTTACATCTGAAGGGTAAACCTGGGGGACCTGGCACCCAGACCACTTCATTGAGCTTAAATTGTTCATTGTTCTTTTAAATACTTGGGAGAAGGCAAATCTTAACAGTAGTTTAATTTATTTTTGACATAGAAATATTTTGTTGTTGTATTTTTTGAGAATCTACCAGTTCAGTGACTTTATTTTTTTTACAGAACCTTAAAAATTGAAGCATCACAACCACCTTCAAAGTACGCACGTCATGTTTTACACTTTCCTGAGGACACTGGGAAGCAGGTTTGTTTGATGTTAATTATGTCTGTGCTTCAATATAATTACCAATATGGATACTGCACTCTCCTAGATCCCAGGGTGCAAACAGACCTGAGGTTGGCCAATCCTCACAATGTGATTTGCAAAATGTAATGATGGTCCTGGCACTTAAGTTCAATCCAGTGGGCAGATTGGAGCAGAATCAAATTAGTTTTGCAAATTGTTTGTGTTGTCTCCAAATGTTATAAGTTTTTTTTTTTTTTTTTTTTGCCCAGCCCTCTTGCAAGAGCATGTATGACTTGTTGAGCAATATTAAGTTCCTTGTACAGGGTGTCTTCTCTTTTATCCTATGCAGTTCCTTGCATAATGAGGAAGTGTGTAAGTGTGTTATTTCTGACACAACGGAAAATGGTTTCTGGAATCTCCTTGGTAAATAAAAATAAGCGGTATATTAACTCCTTAAATACACAGCTTCAGAAGTATATCTTGCACTTAAGAACACAAGCAATTTTTGCATATTTTGCTGTTAAACTGCTATTTGCATCTTTTTTTATCTTATTTATTGTACCATCATATATTATATACAGTTTGTTAAAGGACAAAGAGAGCTTTAATTTAATGCGCATATAAATCTATAATTACGCAGACATGTTAGTGATGCAGCACACTTCATGTGTCCCCTATTAATTAAGAAGTATATAGTGGAAGAATACCACTTTAGATAAAAGCAGCAAGGTGAATTGTTAGTGTCAAACTCACCAAGAGAGTTTGCGTTTACGTGGCCGTGAGCTTACACTTTAATGGCCATATGTGTGCTACTAAAGAAACCTCCAGCAATTTAAATGTGAATGGATTGGGGAAACTGCCAAGTAATGTTTATTTGCTATGTATTTTGGCAGTTTCAGCACAGGGCTTAATTTTGTATGTTTGTATTTGCATTCATTTTAATACATGATGGAAATTTTCTGTCTAGCGTCCTTAAGGGTAGGACTCACATGACAGGAAATTTCCATCCTGGGTCGTGAAGTGTTTAAGGTTTCAATTCATGGAAGATATGTATGAAACCTTTTTTTAAAACTTTATTTGTATGATTTTCCGATACCATTCTAATCCAACAATTCAAACCTAGTTCTTCTAAATACCTAACCCGAGATACAATCTAACCTGTGGTTACTTCCTGCACAGTTATGTAATTTCATGTCACCTATCCTACAGATGAACCGATCTTCACAACATCCTGGAAACTCTACAGATGATGGTCTTATTATCCATGAAGTCTTAAGTCCAGGAGAGGGAACATCAAGTGATCAGCCTACCAGTTCAGAACAATTGCTACAGTGTGAAATTCAGCATACAACACAAACAAACACAGAAACACATTTGTGAGTTCAAGACGTCCCTTTTCTTATATAAATGCAAAACTATATCATAGAAAGCCATAAATCTTGGGTAGCTTTCATAGAAAATGTTATACTTTTTTTTGGAATGTTGGCTTCTTAAAAGTAAAATTGTACAATCTCCTGTGATATTAAGCCAATTATACAAACAGGAAATTATCACATATCAAAAACTGTTGCTGTCAAACACTGCTTCAGAGTAGCCCATACTTAAAAATGGCACTTAAAAATTATCTCATACTATTAATTAAATAGCCAGAACTTGTGGTTTATGGCAAATGCAGCTGAGCACTTTGCAGCAATTCTATTAATAATACTATTGTCTTAACTATCAATTTGTTAATTGTAAGTGGAGCTGTTGGGTGAAACTGCAGTTTTGGTCTCTCTGCAGTTAGTTGTTAGGGGAGGTGGAGATTTAAAATCCCATAGCAGGCCACATCCAAAATTTACATTTAGTAAACAAGAATTTCCTTAATAGTACAATAATTTCCTTAGTATCCAGAGGTACTCTTGGCACCCGCACTGTTGTGAATATTAAGGTGGAAATTTTATAATCGCTCTACACAAATATAGCTTCTTACTTGGATAATGTGTACAAAAGGGGGAGGCAAGTAGCCAGCACTGATTTCTCTCCACCCTCAATTACAGTGGTTATAAGGTACTGCATGCAAGTAGACATGTGTGGGGGGCCTTCTCTGACTGTTACCTGTTAAAAAGAAAAGGAACATTGTTTGATTTTGTTTTGTATTTTATTGGCCTATGATCACATTAAAGGGTTACTCCAACCACTGTAATGGTTATAACTGTAGGGGTACCATGGCACAATTCTCATGTAATTGGGCAAACTATCTTATGATTTACCTTTTCTGGTCGTGCCTGTCACCCCTCTGTAGGCAGGTTTATGACCCCAGTTCTGTTCCTGCTTCTCATTTCTCTGCCTAAAGCAGTCTTCTGATGCTCTCAGCTATTGAATTGGTGTCTGTGCATTAGAATTTGCAGAGAACCGACATTAGCCCAGGCTGGCCAATGTAGGTGGACTTGAACCTTAAGCAGCAAATGGATTAAACTTGGTATGCTCAGCATTTCACAGCAAAACGCTGCAGATATATACTCCAGGCACCATGACCTCTTCAAATCATTGGTGATGAGAACAACCCTTTAATTTGATAAACTTACCGAAACATAAGACTAGATATAAATGCACCCAAGAGTGTTTGCTCTACTTGAGAATAAACATTACTGCAAAATTTACACCAATCAAGCTTAGAACAAATTTTTTGTTTATGCCGTTTTGGTATGGAAAGAAGAAACCCCTTTTAACTGCGTTAAGAGCCTAGGGATGGAGGTTATTTCAGCTGCCCCGTACACTACATTTAAGACCTTATTTAAATCATTGTTTAATAGATCTTAAATGGATATATTGCTTACAACTTCGATTGGGTAATGGCAAGGCATGAGAGGAATTTTATGAAGTAAAGCACATACAAAAAGTATGTGGTAGTCCTTTCTTGCAGTCTATGATATGCAGAATTTTGAGTCTTACTCCTCCCTACACCTTCCTTTTCCTCTCCTTCCATTTCCACCTTTTTAGTGATGAAGCTGCGACAAATCTGTTAGAGGAGCCAGTCCTTAATGCTCAATTGCTAGAAGAAAATCAGGCCGTTGTTCCCAGCATCTATACAAATGAAGATTGGTTGGCGTTGGACGTGATTCAAGCAAACTCTTCTGAGGATACAGACAGTGTCATTAACTCCATCATCAATGAAAACAATAGTGTGAGCAGTGCAGACATGCTGGATTGGTAAGCGGTTTCTGCACTACTGTTATTGAAAAGTGGGAATTTTAAAGTGGAATTGTTACTTCTCAAGGTTTTTTAAATTGTTTACTTATCCCGGTTTAAAGTGACACTATAATCACAAAAACAACTTTAGCTTAATGGTGCAGTTTTGGTATATAGATCGCTGATTAATTATCTGCCATTTAGGAAGTGTGTGTCCCTAGTTACCCCTACCTGCATGTAACGTGCACAGCCTTCCTAAACACTTTCTGTAAATTGAGATGTGGTGTTTATACTTCCTTTATTGCATACTTTAATCTCAAATGTATTAGCTCTTGCAACAATAGCTTGCTAGACCTTGCAGAAGCCCTCTGTGTGTGATTTAAAGTTCAATTTACAGAGGAGGAGATATAAACTTCTAAAGCAAGTTAACATTTGATTGAAAAGGAAAACATTGTTTTTTTTTTTTTCCTTCATGCATGCATGCTGTGTGAGTCACAGCCAATGAAGGTGTGGGTTGGACTGCATGATCCGAAACAAAAGTGATTTAACTCCCAAATGGCAGAGAATTTAGCAGTGAGACTGAAGGGGCATGATCTATACACCAAATTTTGCTTCATTAAACTAAAGTTGTTTTGGTAAATTTTTGAGGTGTGAAAAATAAAATATAAAAAAATAAAGTAAAATGTTGGAAGCTACACTTCTTTACCCTGAATTTGCACTCCTCCTGTTTAGCTCCCTGTCACAAATATAATGCCTTTACACCTGGCAGGCTGTACAGAGAATGCACACAGTAGAGGACAAACAATGCTTCTATTTCCTTTTATTTGAAATATGTGGCCTGCTTTGTCATGTCATTTTTTTGGGGGGGGGGGAGTTAAAACTGATTTTGAATGCTGATGTAAATTGCAGAGAAGTGATCTTTCCCCTTTATTATAAATTAAAAAGAAAAGAGTTTCTCATGAAAACACTATTTTGTTAAGGTGATTCCATTGTTTTACTCAATGCACAGGGAACCTATAGAAATGTCGGTTGGAAGGTTGCTGTTTGCTAATTTGACTGATTTTTTACCTTGACATGGTAGAGATATGGAAATAACATAAAGGCAAACATCATTGGTGACTCCAAATCTCAGAAATAAATAGAACAGTACTACCTTCTTCAATAAAATCAGTAATAACTTTTTATTCACATCTTAAGGCATTAAAAATAAACAAATATTCCCCACAGTCCCAACACTGAGTGTCCTCCATATAGCAGCCACAGATCTGTGTTTCGTATAAAAGAGATATACTTTGTGAACATCAAATAATGCTGCCTAGACACCATGAATAAGGAAAACAGGCAAGTCTCTTGTTTTGAATGTATTTCTCAAAGATGATGTGTAATTTTGTTTCTTGCTTTTAAGTCAATAGTAAACGTACGTGTGTGTTGGTTTTGTTTTTCCTCTTGATATGAGGAGATAAAATAGCTTGGCTCTCCTGTTTAATGTAGAGCTCTTATTGATTCTATTCATGTTGCTTTTATGGAAATGTCATCTTTATGGTTGTTTTTCTTTTTTTCATGTATCAAATTTTCCAACTATTGTTTGCACACCAAAAAATGGAAAACAAGGAGGAAATGGCAAACACTGTAGGCTGCTTATTATATCGCCATGCAAGCCACTCAAATTATAATCCGCTCAAACAAACTGATTCCTTCCAAATCTTATTGAACACTGTAGTTGTGAGCATGTTATGACCGCAAATGGTATATCTTTAACAATAGAAACACTCCATAAATAACAACTGTCCTTTTACCTGCAGCGAGGATATTCAGGACTTCTTGAGTTGTATTGATGCCAGTCTGGAGGACCTGCAAACCATGCTCTCCAAGAAAATCAATGTGGAAGCCGATATTATTGAAGGGGTATGTGTTAAAAAAAAAAAAAAAAAAGTCTAATTTGACCTGGAAAAAAACAATGAAAAATCTAACATAAATCAGTATAATTCAGTTATGCAGACATTAAATAGTTTCTTTAAAAAAAAAAAAAAAAAACGTTTTTGGTCTGAGTAACTATTCCTATACTGATTTCCCCCTCCCGCAAAAAGAAGAAAGAAAATGGCAAAAACTTACCACTGTTCCAGCACCAAGGTCAAGTTCTCCCTGCACATAGATTCTCTGCGGCTGTCGTCATTGACCCTTTGCAAGGGAGAGAGGGATGTCAAGAAGGATTGGGTGAGGGGAATGCGACGCCAAATTTGAAAAGAATCAAAAACTGGCTAATGAAGCCACAATAACGCTACAGGAGATGGAATTAAACCCCTGGCATCAGAAGAGTTAAACACAGTTTCATGGTGAAACTCTGGAGATAAAGATTTCGGAACATGACCACCTCAAATCAGTGAAGTGATCATTGTGTTTGCAGTAACCCTTTAAACTAACAATATGGAAATGTATAATTCTAACAGATATTGGGTAGATTTAGGGCCCTTTTATATTGCTTAGAGAAGCATTGGGAAGCGATGTCACATGTGCAACAATCGCTGTGTAGCACCATGAAATGCTTCCCATAGACAAATGCTTGTTTCTCTGTGAGAAGCTCTCACAACCACTTTAAATGCTCATTCAAAGTGAAATAGCAGGAAACTTTTGTGATGGCTGGGAGTCTCCAACTAATATTATTTATAAAAGTTTCAATTACTCTTGAAATCAGCACTTTATAAAAGAAGACAAAGGAGAAAGCCAAGTTCAAGGGCTTTAGGGTACTGGAGTGTTCATTTAATACAGGCTTCCCCAAACTCTGGCTCTCCAGATGTTGCTGAACTACAACCCCCATGATTTTCAGCCTATCTATTCATAGAATCATTGTAGTTTAGCAACATCTGGAGGGCCAGAGTTTTGGGAAGCCTGATTTAACAACTCTGTGCATAGAGTACTTAAAGGACCACTCTAGGCACCCAGACCACTTCAGCTTAATGAAGTGGTCTGGGTGCCAGGTCCTTCTAGGTTTAACCCATTTTTTTTATAAACATAGCAGTTTCAGAATCGGTTAAGCCTTCCCCCAAAGCCTCTAGCGGCTGTCTCATTGACAGCCGCTAGAGGCGCTTGCGTGCTTCTCACTGTGAAAAACACAGTGAGAGCACGCAAGCGCCCATAGGAAAGCATTGATAATGCTTTCCTATGCGACCGGCTGAATGTGCACGCAGCTCTTGCCGCGCGTACGCATTCAGCCGAATGGGTAGAGAGGAGGAGGATCGAAGGAGGAGAGCTCCCCGCCCAGCGCTGGAGAAAGGTAAGTTTTAACCCCTTTCTCCTTTCCAGAACCGGGCGGGAGGGGGACCCTGAGGGTGGGGGCACTATAGTATGTTTTCCTGGCACTATAGTGGTCCTTTAAGAATAAGAACTCCTCTGGAATACAAATTTTGTCAATCAAAACAAGTACCATGCAACACAAAACACATGGGTGCACTTAACAAAAAAAAAATGTTGGCTGCGTGGGGAGAGATAAAAAATAAAAAAATCCACCCTGGATGTATTTTACAATAGTGCTTCCTGAACAATTGATCGGCTTCATATTACTACTTCATATTCAATACAATATTACTATCTTGGAGGAAACATGGTGAATTGAAGTAGAAAGGCAATAACAGGGTGGGAAAAGGAATAGAACTGATATTTTCATTATTTCCAGAGTTGTTTTATAACTTGGCTCTTAGACAGGTCAACACACAAAAATAAAGATGCCTTCACCTAGGCACCTGCACAGATATGAATAATCATCGCCAAGAGCACTCCTCTTGAATAGGAAATTGTTAATAGAAACTACATATAATATATATGCAACATATAGGGATAACTAAACTCCCAGTCATATGTTTTCAAAGCCATCAATTTCATGTCTTTCCTTTCATTTGAGCAGTAAAAACACTTCAAAGTCACTCTTTATCTCTTTAACTTACTTTTTGCAGCTATTTAAACCTGACTTGTTATCCTCAGATATTAAAGTAACTGAAACCAACGCCAGCTTATCCAGAGTAAGTATAATTTTTCCTTTTTTCCCAGTGTATGTGGATTTATTTTTGTTTATCTTTTCTTTATAACATAATTAGCCATAAACTAAATTTTCAGTATGATGTTTTCTTATCACAGGATTCAATGGCCAATGACAAGAGGGTTGTAGAGCCTGACCTTGATGACCTACTCAATAAAGGTATGAAACTGTTCCTATACTTTTTTATTTTGCTAACCTACAGAACTATACGTTTATCTTTCATTTGAACCTGGAGACGTACATCACTGTTGAGAAAAATATGTTCAAAATTGCCTTTTATATATATATTTTTTTTTTTCTTCTTCTCTGTAAATTGGGTTAACTTAGACTGATTAGTCCATGTTGATTTCTTTAGAACTCTTCTTGCTCACCAGTGAACACAGTTAAAGGAGTCTGGTGTTTTCTTGATAGTTTCTAAAAGTGTTGCTTACGATAGAGATTGACATTTTTATAGTTGGATGCGGAAACCCCTCCCTGGTTTTCTTTCACTTCCATTAGTTCCACAGTGCTAATGGAAGCGGGAGGTGCGCTGTTCTGGTGTGTGCCTGCCTTTCACTCTTCTCAATGAGGTGTGTGATTTGTGAGCTGCGTTCTGCATCTGTCTCACTGCTGGATTAGAGGTTAACTGCTTACAGGCTTTTGAGGGAGGAAAAGGGGCCCAGGATATTTCCTAACATCCTGTATGCACTAATTTAGAATGCTGGGCTGTTCAATTGATTAAAATATATCTTTAATTTTTAAAGTGAACCTTATTCAAATACAATTAGTAAAAGGTACTTTAAATGCAAAATGTGAAAATTCTCTTCTCATATGTAACATTTCATCTTTGAAGATTAACATTTCTACCTCTGCGCAAATTATTGAACTAGGTTGGTGGATAATAGATTTGCTGTGGATACGTTCTACTGTCTTCTGTTGAGAGAAGAAAATGCATTTTTATGGGACTTACAATCGTGAGCTTGAGGAATTCCCAGTTATGCTTCATTTTCACTGTTAAACAGTATTGCTGTTCTGCATTTAAGCCTACTTGTTGCGCAAAATGTAATCCATATTTTTTTTTTTTCAGACAAGCAGCTGATGCACTACACAGGAAATCCTTTGCTCTCTTTATTTGATGAGTTAGAGTCAAACAACAGTGTTTCGTCAGCCCCAACTGATCTGTTGACAGGAAAAGATGATAACCTTCTTACTGGCAGCTCCGAAGAACTAAGGAACAATTCTCTGAGTGTGGACACAAGCAAGGAAGCAGACTTGCTAGTAGAGGATACCAGTGGAGCACATGACCCAATGCCTATTTTTGTCCTCAGCCCAGTTAACAAATTATTAGATGAAGTCACAGAATCTGATACACATGTATGAATGAGATGTTATATAACTACCTGCTAGCCAGCAGGTAGTGCAGGAAAGAGAGCTTTCTACCAAGCAGTGCCTATACAACTTCTAATTCTGCTAGATGATTTTGCAATAGTTTCACAGTATTTTACCAACATTTTATTACCACTTTATTTTGTGTTCTTTCAAGGCTGGATTATAATACCTCTAACGTTTTAAGCCAGAATGAAAAGAAAAAAATGTATGTAGTCATTCCCTGTAGGGCAGACGATGGGCACTTTGCTCACTGGGCTCAAAAGATGCACCTTGTAAATTACTGACCTATCTAAAGTTGAAACAACTTAATGTGTTTGTGGTTTCTCTTGAGCAAAAGACTTGACTATTATTTATGTATATGGACTGCCTCCACCGATGTGATCAATGTCCTGTGTATTAACCTAACTGAGCTTCAGTTGGAGGTGCTTCCAAGTGGACTCTACCTATAGCTATGCTTTTAAATATTCAATTCTAACGGTGTGATAGGCGCTTATCTCTCAACGTGTGTAAAACTAATCCGCTGCATACACAAATGTGGAATACAAAAAAGTGTGGTGCACTCCATATGATAATGTAAATGTATATGTTATCAAATATACTATGCAATTCTTACTGTAACAGAAAAAAAACTAGGTATTAAAAACACCTGCAACAAAAAGTGTACACAATAATGCAGAAACACCATTATAAAGCCCCTTGTGTGGAATACACATTTAAGAATAATTAACTTACATTTGAGAGAAAGTAGGAAGAATCCGATGGTGTAGATTACAAACGCTTCAAGTATACTATTAACAAACTTAGTTTGTATCCCTTTGTTTACTTTGTTTACTTTGTTTATATGAAATGTCTTGTGTTTATTGATTTTCTTGTGGCTCTGTCCTCCATACCATCCACAAATGAATGAGTAACTGGGTCAGCTTCAGGTAAGTATTAAACTCTGAGTTGGGAAAATTAGAGACTGCCATAGTTGTTACGATCCTTTGTGGAAAACATTTTTTAGTTCTGCCAGCATCTTGGAGGTACAATTGAAATAATTATCTGCAATTTCCTAAAAACTTGTCAAGTAAAATGTTCAGATGATATTATCGCCATTTATCTTGCGCCAACAGATTCTGTAGCGCTTTACAATATTATGAGAGGGGGGATTTAACTATAAATAAGATAATTATAATAAAACTTACAGGAGCGATAGGTTGAAGAGGGCCCTGCTCAAACAAGCTTACAGTGTATAGGATGTTCTCTCTAATGTTTTACTATCATTTTTACATGGCAAGTATGTTTGATCACAATGATCACAATGTAAGATATTCCTAATTAGTTGTCAGTAGAGCCCAGCAATCATTAGGCATGCTTACACCAATTTTATATTAATAAATTGTGCCTTATTAGATTTCCCTTCTTTTTTTTTTTTTATCATATCTATATTGGCTTATTTGGGCTGTTTTCTGAGGATTTGCGCACAGTATGTGGAAAGGTAGTGAAGTATTGTTATTTCACATATAATGCACTGCAGCTGTGGCGATAATATCATCTGAACATTTTACTTGACAAGTTTTTAGGAAATTGCAGATAATTATTTCAATTGTACCTCCAAGATGCTGGCAGAACTAAAAAATGTTTTCCACAAAGGATCGTAACAACTATGGCAGTCTCTAATTTTCTGAATGCTGCTTGACCCACACTAAAAACCGAAATGTTTCCAGCAGCTCAAATACTGGACTGCCTGGTCAAATACAAGACACATGCACCCTGCCTAAATGCTGCAGGAAAGTGGCTAGGACTCCAGCAGTGACTCGGGCTTGGTCATTCAGTAATGCTCTCAAACCAAAAAATATTTGTAGGGTAATTGTTTTGTTATTCACTATGTAATCGATTTTAAATTTGGCTTTGACAGATTTCCTTAGAACTTAGGATCCATGCAGCATTTTCAGTGGTGGCATAGACCAACACAAACATTTATTGTAGACTCAGACGGACAAGCTCACACACCTTAACACACTGTCATACCTACATAACCACTCTAACGATAATACAACATTGGCCCCTCTCAATGCACTTATTTAACTAAATACAATACTTCACACATGATCATAGCTAGCCACACACACAAATATATCCATAAAGCACCTTTACATACTTAATCACACACTTTGGCATAAGGGGAAGAGGAATTAGATAGGCAAGTCCTTGTGCTCTCACATCAATGGGGAAGTAGTGTGAGACAGTGTTTTGATCTCTCCTGGCCGATAGGAAGCTAAACAATGGGCAACCGGTATCATTTTTATGGTGTCCAGGATTTTTCAGCCCCTTGTTTAATGTTTTAGATAAATTTAGAACTTACAGGATTGTGACAATAATGACTTTCTTTAACATCCTTTCATTATAGCAGAATTAATTGAGACATCAAGTTATTTCAGAATGTAGTTTGAGGATAAATTCATGTTTTACTTGGGGTTAGTCTAAATGCCATATGATGAAACTAATCTTGCTAATGAGGAGATGGAATTTCAAGGAACACTATAGTCACCTAAATTACTTTTAGCTAAATAAAGCAGTTTTAGTGTATAGATCATTCCCCTGCAATTTTAAATCACTTTGTTTCTGTTTATGCAGCCCTAGCCACACCTCTCCTGGCTATGATTGACAGAGCCTGCATGAAAACAGATGTAATTTACCTTAAATAATTGTATCTCAATCTCTAAATTGAACTTTAATGCATACAGAAGGCTCTTGCTGGGTCTAGCAAGCTATTAACATAGCAGGGGATAAAAAAAAAAATATTAAACAAACAGAACTTGCAATAAAAGCCTAAATAGGGCTCTCTTTACAGGAAGTGTTTATGGAAGGCTGTGCAAGTCACATGGAGGGAGGTGTGACTAGGGTTCATAAACAAAGGGATTTAACTCCTAAATGGCAGAGGATTGAGCAGTGAGGCTGCAGGGGCATGTTCTATACACCAAAACTGCTTCATTAAGCTAAAGTTGTTCAGGTGATTATAGAGTCCCTTTCAGCATTAATAATTCTGGTAAGCAGGGAACGAGCCTCAAGAGACCCTTGATTTTGACCATGAATTAGCAAAGGGCACCTGGCTCCTAATAGCACAATAATGTCTACATACGCATGCGTTATGGTGCCCTCCCAAAAAGCATTTAAAATGGTAATTTTAAGTTGTGTCTAAAAATACATGTTTGTTTACAGATGGACCATTGTCTGCTCTTGTTCTTGCATGCCTAAGTTTATTACTTCTGTTTCAGTTATTCATTATACAAGCTGCAGAATAGTTTGGCATTTTATAAAATGTGAGCGAATATTTTACCAAAGCTCTAATTTGAGGTCTGCAACACTGCACAATTTGCAAACATCTGACTATAAGTTCCTTGTATCATAAAGGTAATTTAGAAAGGAAATCCATACACAGCCATAAAGAGAAATTATATATATATAAAATTGTGTGACTTAACCTTTTTACATATTTTTTTTTTTTTTCCATGTGTCTAGTCTAAATAAATGATATTTGCCTAGGTTGGATTATTGGAAAAATCCATACTTATTTTCTATCAAGAGTCGTTCAGACCAGCTCTCGTAATCTGGTTTACATAGTATTGAGCTCTGTTTCAGTTGTTTCTAGTATACTGTATATCTTGAAGCTGCCCAATAAAATGTTCATCTTTGAGACATGCATATCTGCATTCTGTTGGTACAAGAGGTGTTTATTATTTTCATTCAATAGCATACACAACTGACTCATTTGTCCTCCAATGAATTTGAATATGATGAACAAAGAATATAAACTAAGAGATTAAAAAAAAATCTCATTTATTTTTTGTATCCAACGTTGTTATACCCAATTATTTTTACTTCTATCTTATATTTCAGTGTTTCCAATTAAGGTGCTTACTTAAATTCAGATTGCTTCCACTTTTTATTATTTTAATAAAGATAAAAACCTTTAAAGTCAAACTATTTGTTTAGCCGCACATTTTTGTATTCTGATTTTTTTTTTTTTTTTTTTTTTTTTTTTTTTACGGTTTGGTATCATTTGTTTAAAACATTTATTTTCTTCCACAAAAAGTATTTTATCAATATTTTCTTTTTTTTTTCTAGTTTAATTTATACATTAAGGAACACTCCTAGCACTGTAACCACTTGCTAACAATTTGACTTCTAACCTGGGGCCCTCCAGTCACAAATCACTTTCTCATTGGATAAATAGATGCTCCTACTAGCTTCAATTACGTCTCCTGAGTCGAACCTTGTTGTGCTCATTGGCTTGGAGCATCAGCTGACTGCTAGCAGCAGATCTGCTAAGACCTGCACTGCAAAGCTTATGTCTCAAGGACCACTATAGGCACCTAGACTGGGTGCCAGGTCCATCTAGGGTTAACACTGCAGTTGTAACAGCAGTTTCAGAGAAACTGCTATGTTTACATTAAGGTTAATCCAGCTTCTAGTGGCTGTCTCATTGACAGCCGCTAGAGGCGCTTCCGTGCTCCTCACTGTGATTTTCACAGTGAGAAGACTCCAACGTCCATAGAAAAAGCATTGAGAATGCTTTCCTATGGACTGATTGAATGCGAGTGCGGCTCTTGCTGCGCATGCGGCGGAAGAGGGAGGTGAGTCCCCAGCGCCGAGGGAGCCTGGCGCTGGCGAAAGGTAAGCGTTTAACCCCTTCCTCCCCCTAGAGCCCGGCGGGAGGGGGCTATAAGGGTGGGAGGGACCTACTAACACTATAGTGCCAGGAAAACGAGTTTGTGTTCCTGGCACTACAGTGGTCCTTTAATGGAGAGAGCTTCTGGCTTTCATAGAGCTGATGACTGACGGACATTAGGAAAGTTGTCAAACTGATGGAATACTTACATTTGGGGACAAAACCACTAGAGAAATGAAGATACAGAATAACAGACACAAGAGGTGAAGTATGCCCTGCTTGAATGAGCTTACAATCTATACCAATATAAACCATGAGGGATATGGCATAAATCAAGACTTGGCAAAGTAATTGCAACTATATTTTCATATGTATGATGAATAATGGTTAACATCATGGAATGCTGGTGCGTGACCAGATTATTTTTTTGCGGGGGTAGCACAGGGGGCAGAATAAATGAAACCACAGCTTGCAACACCCGAATAAAGCTTCTGTTAATAAGATGTCTTGCCTGTAAAAATAAATGAGTTATTAAATAAAAATTTATGCTGCTGTACTACAAATGTCTTCATGGGATGTCATTGCTCGACTAGAATGAGCCATAATATTTAAAGTCAAGGACTTTCCTTTAATGTTGTAGGTCATTTATATAGTTTCCATAATCCAATGTGCAATGTAGGCCTTAGATGTATTATTGCCTTTATTAATACCATTGAAATCAATGAGATTTCCACTATTCTGCAATGTCCAGTGGTCTTTTAACATCCAGGCAAACATATTTCCGAGAAGAAGGATTCTGACATAAAGTAGATAACACAATAGTTTGAAAGATATTCTCCTGGGAACCAAAGATTTGAATGAAGGCCTAGAATGTAAGACTACTTTATTTTAACATGAATATAGTAAACTGTGGATAAGCAGATAAAACATGAATCTCCCCAATCATGTTATCAGAAGTGATAGCAGCTACAAATGCTGTTTTAAGCAAAGCAATCTTAATGAGGGCAAAAAAAACAAATAACATGTCCCTGGTAGCAAATAGTTTAGCTCTGATGACTCTTCTAATCAAGACTTCTGGTGCTAGATCCCAAAATAGAAAATGGCTTAGTGCTGAGAATTGAACTTTCAAGGTTAGCCACACTTAAACATAGAAACATAGAATGTGACGGCAGATAAGAACCATTCGGCCCATCTAGTCTGCCCATTTTTTTATTTTATATTTTTATTTTTTTATTTTTTTATAAATACTTTCATTAGTCCCTGGCCTTATCGTATAGTTAGGATAGCCTTATGCATATCCCCTGCATGCTTAAACTCCTTTACTGTGTTAACCTCTAGCACTTCAGCTGGAAGGCTATTCCATGCATCCACTACCCTCTCAGTAAAGTAATACTTCCTGAAATTATTTTTAAACCTTTGTCCCTCTAATTTAAGACTATGTCCTCTTGTTGTGGTAGTGTTTTTTTCTTTTAAATATGGTCTCCTCCTTTACTGTGTTGATTCCCTTTATGTAATTAAAGATTTCTATCATATCCCCCTGTTTCGTCTTTCCTGGGGTATCCTGAGAGACATGGGGGCACAAAGAGACTAGGGCAGTGATGGCGAACCTTTTTGAGCCCGAGTGCCCAAACCGCAATACATGCCAACATGTTTTCTCCTTAAAGTGCCAACACGGCAATTAAACCCAAATACTGAGGTTTAAGTTTAGAAAAAAACAACTCGTACTGTTGTCCGAACTAATAACTTTTGTTTTAAAAGAACACAGAGAGTTCAATGATACAAATTTTAAATAATGATATAAATAGATAAAATTAAGCTTATATTTATTAGTATCTCCAACAAATGCAATACATACACAGACAGACGGCTGAATACATACACACAGTCTGCTGAATACACACACACAAGACTGCTGAATACAGAGACTGATGAATACACATACAGACAGACTGCTGAGTACACACACACTCACAGACTGCTGAGTACACACACACAGACTGCTGAGTACACACACACACTGCTGAGTACACACACACAGACTGCTGAGTACACACACACACAGACTGCTGAGTACACACACACACAGACTGCTGAGTACACGCAAACACAGACAGCTGAATACACGCAAACACAGACAGCTGAATACACGCAAACACAGACAGACTGCTGAATACACGCACACACACACAGACTTCTGAATACACACATACTGCATTGAGGTGGGGGGTGCGTGTGTGTGTGTGAGTGTTGTATGTGAGGGGTGCTGTGTGTGTGTGCTATATGTGTAAGGGTGCTGCGGAGGGGTAGGGGTACTGTGTGTGGGGGGTAGGGGTACTGCTGGGAGGGTAGGGGTACTGTTTGTGGGGTGTAGGGGTACTGTGTGGGGGGGTAGGGGTACTGTGTGTGGGGGGTAGGGGTTACTGCTGGGGAGGGTAGGGGTTACTGCTGGGGAACCTTTTTGAGCCCGAGTGCCCAAACCGCAATACATGCCAACATTTTTTCTCCTTAAAGTGCCAACACGGCAATTAAACCCAAATACTGAGGTTTAAGTTTAGAAAAAAACAACTCGTACTGTTGTCCGACCTAATAACTTTTGTTTTAAAAGAACACAGAGAGTTCAATGATACAAATTTTAAATAATGATATAAATAGATAAAATTAAGCTTATATTTATTAGTATCTCAAACAAATGCAATACATACACAGACAGACGGCTGAATACATACACACAGTCTGCTGAATACACACACACAAGACTGCTGAATACAGAGACTGATGAATACACATACAGACAGACTGAGTACACACACACACAGACTGCTGAGTACACACACACACACACACACACTGCTGAGTACACACACACACACTGCTGAATACACACACAGACAGACTGCTGAGTACACACACACACAGACAGCTGAATACACGCAAACACAGACAGACTGCTGAATACACGCACACACACACACAGACTGCTGAATACACACATACTGCATTGAGGTGGGGGGTGCGTGTGTGTGTGAGTGTTGTATGTGAGGGGTGCTGTGTGTGTGTGGGGGGGGGTGCTGTGTGTGTGTGTGCTATATGTGTAAGGGTGCTGCGGAGGGGTAGGGGTACTGTGTGTGGGGGTAGGGGTACTGTGTGTGGAGGGTAGGGTTACTGCTGGGAGGGTAGGGGCCACTGCTGGGGGTGAAGTACTGCTGTGGAGGGTGGTGGGGTTACTGCTGGGGAGGGTAGGGGTTACTCGCTGGGGGGTAGGGGTACTCCGCAGGAGGGGTAGGGTTACTGATTGGGGGGTAGGGGCTACCGCTGTGGGAGTGGTAGGGGCCACTGCTGGGAGTGGAGGGGCTTTCATTGCTGGGGGTTAGGTACTGCTAGAGTGGTAGGGGCTACTGCTGGGGGTAGGGGTTACTGCTGGGCAGGTAGGGTTCTGCTGGGCAGGTAGGGGTTACTACTGGGGAGGGTAGGGGTTACTGCTGGGAGGGTAGGGTACTCTGCTGGGAGAGGTAGGGGTTACTGCTGGGGAGGGTAGGGGTACTGCTGGGGAGGGTAGGGCTACTGCTGGGGAGGTGTGGGTACTGCTGGGGAGGTAGGGGTTACTGCTGGGGAGGGAGGGGTTACCGCTGGGGGTCGGGTTACTGCTGGCAGGGTAGGGGTTCCTGCTGGGAGGGTAGGGTTACTGCTGGGCAGGGCAGGGGTTACTGCTGGGGGGTTACTGCTGTGCAGGTAGGGTTACCGCTGGGTAGGGGTTACTGCTGTGCAGGGTAGGGGTTACTGCTGGGGGGGTAGGGTTACTGTGCTGGGCAGGTAGGGGGTTCCTGCTGGGGGAGGGTAGGGTTACTGCTGCTATGGGTAGGGGCTACTGCTGGAGGGGTAGGGGTTACTGCTGAGCAGGGGTAGGGGTTCCGCTGGGAGGTAGGGGTTACTGCTGGGCAGGTAGGGGCCATCAAGTAAAGTAGGGGTTCCTGCTGGGGGTAGGGGGTTACTGCTGGGCAGGGTAGGGGTTACTGCTGGGGGTAGGGCTTACTGCTGGGGGGTAGGGGTTACTGCTGGGGAGTATGGGTGCCAGGTAAAACAGTATACCCCCCCTCCCTCCTTCTTACCTTTAATGAAGTGGGGGGGGGGGACACAGCCATCCCTGGTGGTACGGTGGTGGTAAGCACTGCAGGGGGAGGGCTCCAGGAAGCAGCTCCCCTGTCCTCCTGCGCAAAGCTATGTGGAGCGTTGCCATGGTAACGCGCAGCAACGCTCCACACAGCATCGCGCGGGAGGACAGGGGAGCTGCATCACAGAGCCCTCCCCCTGCCTCCCAACCCGGAAGCAGAGTAGGCGCCTGCCGTTTCTGGCAGGCAGGTGTCTACTCTGCATTGATGGCGAACCTGTGGCCGCGTGCCCACAGAAAGGGCCCGGCGTGCCACCTGTGGCACGCGTGCCATAGGTTCGCCATCACTGGACTAGGGGAAACATGGGGACGCTAGGTGAGACATGGGTACACAGACATATGGGGACACTGGGAGACAGGGCAGAATCAAACTAAGTAAGTTGTTTTTTTGGTGATGTTAGAGAATTTTCTGTTATGTCACTCGTGATTTACATTGTGTGATGTCATGCATGCATAAGTAATTATGCAAATTAGTATGGTCTGTATTTTTTGCCAAGTTTTCTAATTCCTAATGAGACCAATTATATTTGTGGAATTTTTAATCATAAGCTAGGAGTGATCCCAAATAAAGGCAAAACCATACTGACATGACCAATGTGGTATGTTTACACATCAGATACATGGATTACAATTGCTTCTATGAACATTGATAACTGCTAGCCTTATGTGAGCAACATACAGAATCCCAAGATGGTTCATGGCAATTGGGGCATCTACTACTTTCTGAATACTTTCCTGTGCTTCTATGTCATGTAAATACTGTAAACAGCTTAGATGTAAAGGCCCTTCCTTTTTTCAGGGTTTTTTTTATCATGGTTTATGGTACTCGTGACTTTAGGATGCAGCAGAAAGTCTCTTTATTACTCAGTCTGTGAGTCCCCATAACCTTCGATACTTTCTTGACAAATTCATTCAATTCATCATGTCTGAATCATTGCTTGTTAACGCAGACTCTAAAGATCATTCTACCAATGATAATTCTGAAGGACAAGAGAATCTCCTTTTTTTGTTCTCGTTTATCTCCATTATTTCATTGTGGTTTCCTCGAAACCAATTGAGGCATGATGCATAGCTTTCTGTTTAGACTAGGGGTGCCAAAAGGTAGATCCCCAGATGTTGTAGAACAAAACCCCCATGATGCTTTGCATGCCTTTAGAATGACAAGGTATCAAGGAAGCTGTAGTTTTAAAACATCTGCGTATCTACCTTTTGGGACCCCCGGTTTAGACTATGCTAAAGTCTCCTTTGAAAACTGATTACAGTATTTCTTTTTGCAACCATCAAGGACACCTTCAGTTTTGTGGGCAGAGATTGACTCTTTCCTGTCTTTTCCATTTTTTCTAGCGATGCAGGGCTATACATCTGCAATATATTAAATTTTTTTTTTTATTCATAAA